GGATTAAAGGCGTGCGCCACCAATGCCCAGCTAATGGCCTTCATTTTAGCACCTCCCCAGGTAGAGCCTGGGACCTATTCATGCCTCACCCAGACAATCCCCACTTCTGTTTCGTCCTGCCCTTGTCTGTGTCCTTCCTCTTCTCTGTCCCATCTGCCTTGCTTAGAAGTTAACTCACCTCAGGGTTCCGCTCAGCTTTCCCAGGGTCCTCCTGGATTTTCTTCCCACCCTCACCATCTGAAGCTTGACTCCGCCCTTCAGTAGTAAGCTCCTCTGTGTTATCTGGAAGTTCACCCTCCCCCTGCCTTGTGAAATTTAAGACAGGGTCTTCTCCATGCCACAGGCTGGTCTTGAACTCACAATCCCTCTTCAGCCTCTGCTGGTATTACAGGTAGGCACTGCCATGCCCTTTGTGGGTGTTATACCTGGGGCCTGTACATGCTGGTATTCCCTGCTAGCATGCTCCTCCTAACCCTAACTCTCGGTTCTCCTTCAGTTGAATCCTACCCATCTTTCAAGACTCTTCCAGGGTGAGGGTGTTGAGACACGGTCTCATTCTATAGTCCACGGTTGGCCTTGAACTCTCGGCAATTCTCCTGCCTCAGCGTCCCAAAAGCTGGGATTACATGGGCCAACACACTCAGCCCGCCCGAGTCTCTTTTCAGTGTCATGCTCACCACAGGGACTTGCTTGGCTATCTTACCAAAATGCTCCAGTATCTTTTGCTACTGAAACATTTTTCTTTGCAACTCTCAGAAGCACTTGCTTTTTATTTAACCCCTGGACACTGTGTTTTATTTACTCAGACGACTTCCATTTGCAGGTAGTGGCTCTCCTCAAATGTTTCAGAAGTGAATGGCTATGGCGTGTTTCAGGAAGCAGATTCTCCCGTGGTACGTGTGCCTTCAGCCACAAGATTAAACTTCCCACAAGCTGGGTTATCAGCAATCTGGCCAGTGTCTGGGCTTCCTTGTTCTGTGAACATTCCTGAAGCATTGTTTGCTGACTGCCTGAGCTGTTTGAGGTCAATCTGGTTGCTTTGCATCCGCTTTAGGAGTTTCCCAGCCAGGTGGTTCTTCTGGAACATTCCACCAGGTCTCATTTCTGTGAAACCCACCTCAGCCTGACCACATTGGAGCAGTCAGGAAGGCGCCTGAAAGGGAACTCAGTTCTGACTGGGACTCCCCATGGGCTGATGAGACCCCAAAGCCTTGTACCAGGGAAGTGGCGAGGTTACAGGGGTAGAAAGTGGACTCTACTCTGCTCATTTCAAAGCCACAGGAACTCTGTCTGGGAGCTGAAGGAAGGTACCACTAACTTTGGAGGCTAAAATGCCGAGGGCGAAATTGAGAGCTACTTAGTGGAGCAGTGACCTGTGGGAGGGGGAAGAGGTTGGTGAAAGCTCCTGCCTCTTGTGTCAGTGGCTAGAGCTGGAGTTACCCTGTGCATCACCCCCTGTGGGAGCCCCAAAAGAAAGCATCAACAAAAGCACTAATCAGGGGCAATACCCTCTGGATCTAATACGCAGTAGCTGGGGCTGGAGGGATGGCTCCATAGTTACAGCATCTATTGTTGGCTCCATAGTTACAGCATCTATTGTTGGCTCCATAGTTACAGCATCTATTGTTGGCTCCATAGTTACAGCATCTATTGTTCTTCCAGTTTGGCTTCCAACAGTCATATCAGGCAGCTGGTTTACAACTGTTCTGGAACTACAGTTCCAGCAGATTCCTCACCTCTAGCCTCTGACCACACCTGCACTCCTATGTACATACCTACCCAGAGGTGTACATACATACCCGTGGTTAACATTAAAACCTTTTTTTTAATGTAACGATGTGAAGCATTTTGTTACCTAAAGGCAGAAAGAATAATATAGTGGGCGCTGGACTCTGTCCTGGTGCTGCTGCTGCTGCTGCTGCTGCCTAACAGGGGACTGGACACTCTGGAGACCTGACTCAAAGCTCCACAGCAAGGAAACAGCAGGAGGTGGGCGTGGAGGGGAGGTGGGACTAAAGAATGTCTACCCCGTCACCACCTGCCCATCTCTGCTACAGAAAGTATTCATTCAGCTATGCCGGGCCAAATCACAGTCACTCGGGTAAACTGTCTGGGGACACCTACTGTGTGGTCCAGTTCTTCCACTTTGTAAACAGAGGCCTGGAGAGATTCGGGGCAAACATCTGAAGTCCCACAATGGAGAGCATCAGAAACCCAGATCTGAGTGAGTTCTCAGGTGGCTACATCATGGGTCTTTGCACTCAAAGTCAGTTAAGGCAGGATCCCAAAGGCTGGATGGTGTCAGGAGGCTGAGGCCTCTGTGCTCCCCGTGGACTGACACTGCAAATGGATGCTGGAGGAGCAATGGGAAAAGAAACAGCTGTAAATGTTCCCATGCAAACTGACCATCTTATTTCAAGGACCAAGATACAGGCATCCAGGGTGAGAAGAAAACAAAACAAAAGAAAACGATGGTTAATTCTTTTCAAATCACTTCTCATAGTTGAGTTCCCAAACAAATAAGTTTTTGTCATGGTTTTGGGCCTTGATGTTACTGCAAAGCTTTTTTGGGGTGGGGGAGGGTAGCACACACTTGAAATCCCAGCATTCAGGAAGCTGAGACAGAAGGGAAGTCCTAAACCCAGTCTGACCTATATGGTAGTAAAACTTTGCCAAGAAAGAAAGAAAGAAAGAAAGAATGTTCTCATTCATCTTAAAAATATAACTTTTATTATTGTTAAGCATTTTCGCCTTCAGGGTTTCTATTGCTGAGATGAATACTGTGACCAAAACTAAGTTGGGGAGGAAAGTGTTCATTTGGCTTACACTTCTGTATGGTAATCCATCCCTGAAGGAAGTCAGAACAGGGACCTGGAGACAGGAGCTGAGACAGAGGCCATGGTGGGGCGCTGCTTACTGGCTTGCTCAGCCTGCTTTCTTATAGAACCCAGAACCACCAGTCCAAGGATGGCCCCACCCACAGCGGGCTGGGCCCTCCCCAGCAATCACTAATTAAGAAAATGCCCTACAACTGGATTTTTCAAAGACATTTTCTCAATTGAAGTTCTCTCCTTTCAGATGACAAGAAACTAGCCAGCATAAACATATTTAGCATTTTAAGGGTTTTGTTTGTTTTATTTTTTAATATCTAAAGCCAAAACATTCTGCAATCTCGTGCCAAGGACTTCTTGGTGTCTGAAGGGGTATACCATTTTCCAGGAAATTGTTACCATGTAGGTCCAGAAAAGCCAACATTTTCTAGTAGAGGCAGTGCTTTCCCTGGACTGCAGAGCAGTGACACCTGCTAAGCTCTGCCAGCCCTGCATCTTGCTCAGCAAACCCTGACAACGGGGGGGGGGTGTGGGGAGTGTGGGGTGGGCATGGGGTGTGAGGTGGGCGTGGGGTGGGGTGTGAGAGCCTCAGACCAAAGCCCTTGCTTTTGAAAGAGAAGAAATCAAGAAGGGGATAGCTTTTGTGATCAAATGACCTTGAGTGACCTTGGAGGAAAATGGCAAAACCGAGGATGCCCTACCCTGGTCCTCAGCATTAGAAGAGCAGACCCAGCCACATCACCAAACAGCTGGACTTTCTGCCTCTGCCTGTCGAGAGCCAAGTGCACTGCATCTTATATTTGTCCTGTGCTCTCCTCTCAATGTTCCTTTCTTTCTTGACCCGTCTTGCCATCTCCATGTCCCCTCTGCTTCCCCTTTTAAAACCTGTGCTCCCCAGCCTGTGACACTCCTGCAGCATAACACTCTTTCACTGGGTTCCTTGAATCTTGGCCTTCTTGTCTGTCTTTGTCAACACTCCCGACACCTAGGGCAGGGACATGAACACCATCCAGGCTTAGTCAGGGTCTCTGTTGCTGTGATGAACACCATGATCTAAAGCAGCTTGGGGAGGAAAGGGTTTATTTCATTTTATAGCTTAGAGTTCACGGTGAAGTGAGTCAGGACAGGAACTCAAGGCAGGAACTAAAGCAGAAGTCATGGAGGAACACGTCTCACTGGCTTGCTCCCAAGGGCTTGCTTAGTTTGCTTCCTTATACAACCCAGGCCCACCTGCTCGGGAGTAGCAATGCCACATGGAGGGCTAGGCCCTCCCACATCAGTCACTACAAGCCAATCAGAGGGAGGCATTTTGTCAATTGCAATTTCTGTGTCAAGTTGACAAACAAAACAAACCCCCTAACAGCAAAGAAACTATCTAGCACAGGCCCTGTGCACACCTGAAAAAATTAAAATCATTTTTCAATCATCGATCACTGCTCATTAGTGGGTCTGCAAATCATCTAGTGGATTGCAACCAATCTTAAAAAGAGGCGGAACAGAGACTGGGTGGGGCAGCATAGTTGGTAGAGTACTTGCCTAATATCCATAAAGCCATAGGTTGAATCCCTAGCACCACATAAATCTCCAGGCATGTGCCTGGGATCCCAGCACTCTGGAGTACAGGCAGGAGAATCAGAAATTTAAAACTGTTCTTGGTTACAAAGCAAGTTCAAAGCCAGCCTGGACTGCATGAGAAGTTACAAAAAAAAAAAAAAAAAGAAGGAAGGAGAGAGGGAGAAGAAGAGAAAGACAGAGAAAGGGAGAGACAGACAGAGAGAGAGAGAGAGAGAGAGAGAGAGAGAGAGAGAGAGAGAGAGAGAGACAGAAAATACTGGAGGGTGCGGTGCCCCCTAAAGTGCAAATACTGCTTTTTGATGCTTCCTGGCAGGGACAGTTGTTCTGGCTGTGTTCTGTGTATGTTCTGGGTGTGTTCTGCATGTGTTCTGGGTGTGTTCTATATGTTTTCTGTGTGTGTTCTGTGTATGTTCTGGGTGTGTTCTGCATGTGTTCTGGGTATGTTCTGCATGTGTTCTGTGTATGTTCTGGGTGTGTTCTGCATGTGTTCTGGGTGTGTTCTGTGTATGTTCTGGGTGTGTTCTGCATGTGTTCTGTGTATGTTCTGGGTGTGTTCTGCATGTGTTCTGTGTGTATTCTGGCTGTGTTCTGTGTGTGTTCTGCATGTGTTCTGGTTGTGTTCTGTGTGTGTTCTGGCTGTGTTCTGGGTGTGTTCTGCATGTGTTCTCTGTGTGTTCTGGGTTGTTCTGCATGTGTTCTGAGTGTGTTCTTACAGTCTCCATGAAAACCATAGAATTTGTAGTCAAAGAACCTTAATGGCCCTGGGCTAAGTGACCAGTGAGAACACCTGGGTGCCAACACTGAAAAGCAAGAGGAGCGAGGGCTGAAGAAATGTGCATTCTGTGCAGGCTCAGGCGACCCTGAGGTCCTGGAGATCCACACAGGTCCTCAGGGAGGGCTCCAGCTCTCCTGTCTGAGGGCATGAGACTGATCTGGGGATGGTTACCAGGGTGGTCTGGAGAGGCTGCCAAGATACACACCCGGTGCTAGGACTCAATTTGCATACAAATCAGACTGCAGTTTTACTACTTGGCCATCAAGAAAAAGATTTTAAAAAAGAGATATAGAATCTTCCAGAGACTTCCATGCAGCTTGGAGGTCCAGAAGGTGTGTCTGGCAGGTCAGTCGGTTTGGAAACGCACCGTCTCCTGCAGGGGACCAGCAGATGTGATCATGACTCAATATGAAGCAGAACATGGAGCTGCGTTTCTAGCTGGTGAGGGTGGGTTCCGCCTTGGGGCGAGAACCACCTCACTGGACATCACTGGCAGTAAAAGGTGAGCACGTTCTCCTGGTTGCCCCGTATAAGGACGACAGGAGGTCTGAGGTCCTGGGACAGAGTCTCCAGCCAGGCCATGTACAGCGAGCTGGGGCACTTCCCCTTCCTTCCGATGGGCAAGGTGCTGTAGGAGGAAGCAGAGGTGTTACTCAGAGCTTGTTTTCTGAATGGAATGCCAGCTTACGGCTTGCTCATCCTTCCCACTCACTCTAAGACCTCCTGCTGTCCTCCACACAGTTCTCAGCAAATCTTGAGCCACAAAGTCTTTCTAAGCAGACCCATGGCCCGCACGTTCCCTCTGACCCAGTCCCCTCCAGCCCTTCCAACCTCACTTAGCCCATGTCACCGCTGAGCAGCTACAGTGACGAATGCCAAGCCTGCTCCTGCCTCAGGACCTTTGCCCTTGATGCTCTTGACACTTGGTAAACTAGCATGCCCCGTTCTGGGCCCAGGCTCCTGCTCGAGGGCAGCTCCTCTGATTGACCACACCTTCCCATCCAGTCCCCATTTGACTGTTTCCATAGTCCTTCGAAATCTTAAAGGCATCTCTAGTTGTCTGTCTCCCCCATTGGAATATGTGTTCATCTACCTGCAGGCTGAGTCTATCCTGGCCTCTTCCCTCTGTGCCTAGAATACACCCCGAGACAGCCGGGTTCAGAAGATGTTTGCTGAGTGGAAGAGGCCACCCCACCAGGTGACTGGCACCATGCCAGGCTTGCCTTTCCAGCTACACACTTTCCCAGAGCTACAGCGTGATGTGCCCGTGTGATGTGGCTACATGTCCTGGTCCTGCCCCCGGCCCATGGACGGTGTCAGGGCAGACTCCAGCATGACCTCTCCGAGCCCCGTTGTCCCAATTGCGCAACACTGCAAATAACAAGATGTCCTAGAATGCTGTTCGGTCATGTTTGGCTGTTTATATCAGAGAGTGACTTTCCTACCATCTTAATGATTTTAAAGATGCACTGGGACCATGCACCAGCGCCTAGGGTTCAGCCTCTGGGAAATACAGCATCCCACAGAAACAACTGTGGTGCATGAAGCTGGGGTACCAGTGCTTACGTGGGACTTGGCAATCTGACAGTCCCTCCACAGGCACTATTTCATCTGAGCTTTAGCAGAGCCTACAGTGGACGGTGCCCCAGCAGTACTCCAGGGCAGCCGGAGCAGTCCGCCAGGGAGATTTGAAACTTCAGTTCAGAGTTCAGAAGCTGACCCCACAGAGTGTTGGCATTGCCTTTGTCCTCAGCCATGTAGCTCTGGCAAAGTGCCCATCTGGCCCTGAGCCTCAGAGCCTCTAAAGTGACAGAGGCACTGCCCTTGTGGGCTGTCTGTGGGCACATAGGGTGCAGGGTAGAGACGGACCTCCAGCCAGGTCCCCAGATCTCTCTACATCTGCTTGCTGCAACCTCGCATGCCCGCCAAGAGCCTGTGGCCACTGACTAAAAGGCAGGGTCAGAACACCAGTGGGACAACCACTGTCCTGTTTTTAAAAAGTGAGGTCCCAAGGAGCAGGGAAGCGCATGAGAACACGGGCGTCTATGTCCCGAAGCAGCTGCCATCTTCATTTGGAAGCCTGTGGTGATAGTCCATGGAAAGGCATAGGAGAGGAGAAGAGCCAAATGTACACTTCACAGGCACTCCTGAGGCTGAGGGCACTGCCATATGGGAAATGCTACATTATTTTTGGGAACCTAATTCACCAATTCTAAAGGCCACAGGGCACAGGCGCCTGCCAGTTCGGAGCCAGGAAACAGTTCCTACCGTATGCTTCGGCATGAAGCTCCCTCCCTCAGGGGAGCCTGTGGCCCTGTCCCAGGGACAGCAGCCCTAACTCACTCCAGCACCAGCATGACTCGCTGACTCTTGCCAACAGGATATGCTCTCCTTAAACCACTTATCTTTAGAACAAGAGCTGGGAACAATACAACTTCTGTTCAAAATTGCAAGGCAATGTTGGGTCAATGCTGGGGTCAGAAGTTTTAGGTCCCTGAACGGAACCAATGGTGAGTGTCCGCATCTCAAGGTCAGTTAGTTACGATTCTCTAAAGCAGCAAAGTCCCTGCGTACAATCTCCTCAGGACACGCACTGGCAGTGAGCACCCCTCAGTAATTACTCTTTGTCACTGAGGAGGGAATCCTTACAGGAAAGGGGGGGTATCTGGTCTCCATAGGAACAGGCTCTCATTCCAGTCAGAGGCTGTGGGACTGCTTACGGTGCCAGCTCAACACCTGTGCTCACACGTGGGTGGAGGTATGGGGTGCCTCATCAGATAAGCCATTGTTTAGTAGATAGACAGCCAGGTTCCACCTCCAACCGGCACTAGACTAAATGTCCCTTGCACCTGGCCCCACGGAGAGTTGTTGCTTTTTTGTTGTCCTTGAAATACCTGGTGACAGGGATCCTGAGCCATTTCCCAGCCCTCTTCTGGGAGAGACTGTACACTTTGCATTTCTAGGGTTCCCAGGTCTAGTGAGACTGACCTCAGCTACATCTTGAGAAACCTGGGCTGTCTCCAGCTGGTAGGGTTGTGACACACACCCAGCTGCTCTGTCTTCCCCATGGGTTGGCCCAAGAGCTGGGGCCCCATTGGGTGACAGCTGCAGTTGCTGCCTAGGGTGGGGTTTGTCCAGGTGTCATCTCCAGGGTGACTGGACATTGTTGCTCTCCGCTAATCCTGCCAAGACTAGCTGGTGGGCATTTGACTTCTGGAGTTCTGGGGTAGAAAGGAAAGGGAGGGAGAGATGCCACTCGGGTAGAACTTCTCATCATGGGGCCCCTGGGAGATAGATTCATTTTAGTAGCACAGAAACGTGGGATCACAGCACAGTAAAAGAGAAACTTGAACCCTGTCATTAGGGAAACCAAGGCTAAAGAGGCATGGGCCTCCTTACCAAGGTGACACAGTGAGTTAACCGCAGGTCATAATTGCAAGCCTGCTTCTTTGAAGAGAGACTGTAGTAGGGAAGCTGCAGCATGTCCCACCCTTGCACCCTGGAGAGGGCACACCCCAGGTTCCCCACCTGCTTAGATGTCTTGGAGCAGGGGGATAAAGTCACCTCCACTGACACTCCCCACCCCACCCCCACCCCACCCCCCCGTAGGGAAAAAGGTCCAGCCAAAGAAACACACCTGGAGCAGAGCCAAAGAAACACACTTTGGCCCTGCAACCAGAACCAAAGAAATGTACCTTGACCCTGAAACCAGTGCCAAATAAACACACTTTGGCCCTGGAATCAGAGTTAGTAGAAGAAATGCACCATGGCCCTAAAATTGTAGCCAAAAGGCTAAAAAAAGGACCAGAGAAAGAAACACAGTTTGGCCCTGAAGCCACAGCCAAATCTGACCTGTGCAGAAAACTAACCAATCCTCGATCAGGAACTCCAGCCAATGTGAGCTCAGCACTAAAATCTGACCAGTCCCCACCCTGGAAGCCCTATATAAACCCGGTGTCTGTTCAGCTTGTGTCTGTTTGCCCTACCCGGCTGTCCTCTGTCACTGTGGCAGAGGGCAGCCACTCTCCTGGACTCTTCCCTCCCAATAAACCCCTTCGATGAGCTTCTGGTGAAGACCTTCTTTTGCACTGGAGCAGAGACGACCCTAGGCAGAGCAGAGCGAGCAGGGCTGTAACACTTTTCCTGGGGAAACCTTCCCTGCGGAGGTGTTATACTCTGCTCTCCACTCTTCAGGAGCAGTGCTGAACTGTAGCAACTTCCCCAGGGACACCTTCTCCTGCCTGAGTAAAACTGCTACTCTGGGCAAACATCCCCAGCTGGAAGACCCTCTCCTGCTGGAGCGGAGCCAATACACTGGGGAAGCATTTCCCTGAGGCAGGGCTGTATGCTGCTACACTTACTATGGCCTGTGGTAGTCCTTGGCTCCCAAGCTCCAGGATACCTTTCCATCTGAGCTGTGTAACACTCAGTATTCTGTGACTCCCAAGTGCCAGAATACCTGTCCCACCTGATCCGCCTGAAATGCCTACACCTCCCCCCTGCTCTGACTCAGGCCACACCCTGGCCCAACATTGCCTTAGGAACATTCTCCTAGAGGTGTTGTGAGAAGGCAAACAGCTTTCCTCAGGGATTCCTCAGTAGGAAAACACAATCTCCTGCAGTCCTTGGGAGGTGCTCAAACACAATGGGTGTCACCAGACCATGGAAGTGTTGTCACACAGGGCCCTACCTACACTCAGAGGGCCCACACCTGGCTGAATGCCTTGGTGTTTCAGTCTTGACCTCTTTTCAATGCTGTAAATCACATAGGAGATTCAAGGCAGAATTCAACCTGGTGGTAGCTTCCTGCGTGGGACCCCACTAGTCGGCTGACTGAGAGTTGAATACAGGGAGCCAGTCCTTAGGAAAACTACATACAGGCTCTGGCATCCTCTGGGCTGCCCCAGGGAAGGATTAGAAACTGCTGGAGTTCAGATCTCTGTGCTTTGGTGCTATTCCAATCAAGATCCTGACCACCACTCCACACAGGACAGCAGGAATCGCTACCCATGTCTTTCTATCCTTGGACACATATGAAGTGACTCACAGGAGCAAAGTCAGTAAGCCATTTGCTGTGATCTTAATAGGTGTGGCCGGCTAAAATTCAACTCATGGAAATGATTCCCTCTGCACTTAAAGGATGACCGGCAAGAGGTGTAGGAGCTGGGGGATTAAGGAGACGATTAGCCCAAGAGGTTAGCCATTTCCACTTTACGAAATGGCTCTAGAGAGTTCCCACCATGGGAGGACAATGACAAGGGGCCTCATGATGACACATGAGTCTGTGACCAGAAGGCTGGCCTTACCAGATACCAAATTTGCTAATACTTTGAGATTAGACCTATCCTCTAGAACTATTGAGAACTTAGCTCTTGCTGTTTATAAGAGACCCAGTGTGTAGTACTTTGTTACAGTTCTGAGTGAAGGAAAGATGTGATTCCTGAACCCTGGTTGAGTGAGTGCCTGGAACTGCGGTTTGAGTACTGTCCACGAAGACACATCCCTGTCCCCACAGTCTGGCCTGGGACATACTCCAGCAGGTGTCATCACTCTAACCTTTCGCTGCTGACCAGACTCTGTGGTGGAAATAAGCACCATTGCTGTCCACACATTTGATCCCACAGGCCTGCAGACAAGACTTGAGGTTCAGACCCTCTGGAATCGGGGTTCTGATGGTGCACTCATCACCTTCCCGCAGTGCTTGTCCTCAGTCTTCATCTGTCAATTTTCTGTTTATCTGCTAGCAGGCCTTGGGCATTTTTGGTCTTTACCCGATTGCTGTGCTGATCTTCCCAGAGGGACACTCACACTGCCTGCTGGGAACAATGCTGGTGCCCCCTGAGAAGGAGTACTTCTGAGTAGAGACCCTGTTTCCTCCTGTCACCCTCAAGGGGCTCCTTGGTGACAGTCTCATCTTGTGAATCCAATGTCAGATATGGCCTATGGCGCCTAGGGGGCAACTGGGTTAATAATGGACCATTCTTGAGTCTCGTGAATTCTAAATCCAATATGGTGCTACGTTTGAGGCCTCTCTGCAGGAGACAAGCATCCTTTGCAGCACCCTTACTGCTCGTCCTGGTTAGTTTTTGTTCAACTTGACACAAAGAAGAGTTAGTTTTTGAGATGGGCACAACTGAGAAAATGTCCTCAGCAGATCAGCCTGTGGGCATCTTCTTGAATAATAATTGATGTGGGAGGGCCTAGGACATGTGGGCAGTGCCATCCTGGGCTGGTAGTCAGGGATACTATAAGAAAGCAGAGTGAGTGAGCCACGAAGGACAAGCCAGTGAGCAGCATCCTCCACGGCCTCAGCATCAGCTCCTGCCTCCAGGTTCCTGCCTCGACTTCCCCGAGTGATGGACTTACAAGCTATAGGTTGAAATAAACCCTGTCCTCCCCAGTTGCTTTGGTCATGGTGTTTATCACAGCAATAGAAACCCTACTGTACTGCTCATGTCAGCAGACACGGGCTTGCTCCCCAGAGCAGATAACACGTGGCAGGTCTGCCAGGATGTTTACACTCCGGCACACTAAAGAGGACGCTGTTACAAGCACACACAGCCATCATCTGTCCGTGACAGTGACCATCTCATTATCAAGTAAGACTGACTCTGGCCTTCCTCCTTGACACACCTCAGGATTTTAAGAATAAGATGCCATGTGGTCCATTGAGAACATGCCTTGAAAAGAAGGCCGCCTCTTGACATGTTCATTGTTGCTGACTTCCAGGGAGGCAGAGGTAGAAGGATCCCTGGTCTGAGTCCCATCTGGGGTTGCAAAGCAAGCTCCACATGTTAGGCTAGGGGCTTTATGTTCTTGTGTGGTAGAAACCCCTGCAAATGAAATGTCCTGTCTAAGCAGACAGAGTGCTTGGCCCCCAACAAGCATGGGAAAGCCTTAAGAAAATCTGTATTACCCTAAGCTACAGATCTGTAGGTCTTGGCTGCCCATGTTGTTACTGGCCTCTGACAGATTAGAACTTCATGGAGACCCCCTCCTTGCCACTGTCCCTGGCTAACATCAGAGGGCAGCTTGGACTGGGCATAGGCCTAGGGGGAACAGCGTGGCTGGAGTAGCTTTCATTCCTGTTGTCCAGAATGGACACTCAAATCATTAAGGGATGGCAAACAGCCAATGAGGTTGGGCGATTTCCAAACTAGGAGACACACTGGCTTCTGGGATGAGTTGCCTCCATCTGCCAAGCCTGTTTGGCAGGAAAAGGAATAAACAAGGAATAACAAGGAGATCAACAATGCCTGGGACACATTAGGCCTGGGACCTTCCAGCTGACACGCAGGCCAGAGCCGTGAGGCAGACGTTGGACTGGCCCTATTTTTGACAATCCACCATGCTGAGTCTGCAGCATTCTGGGCCCCTTTGAGCAGCCACCCCCCTCATCCCGACAGATGTGACTTACAGGATGATCAGAGCAGCGTCCAGAGAGTTGTCCACCAGGATCTCATTCAGCCTCACCTGCCGAAGGGACTGGGCACGGGGAAAGCCAAGATCACTTCCTACCTCTTCAACTGGATGCAGAATTACACCCCTAAACAACTCCTGACTCCCCAGCCCAAGGAGAGCCTCCCTGAGCTTCAGTGTGTCCCTCTGCAAAATAGGTATGATCATGTCCTTCCCGGGGAATGTGGAAGAGAGCAGATGAACTAACTCTTGGCTCAGTGCCAGGCGAAGGGCATGACACACAGAAGACCCACTGTACAAAGGACTAGGGGACTTTTTAGAGCAGGGGCAGGCTCACAGTGACAGGGGCAGGCTAAGGACTTTCCTTAGACACCTTGCTTATTCAGTACTTTCAAAGAGCCAACTAAGTCTCCAAAGTCCCTAGGTGTGTGGGGCTGACTGGGGGACACACCTTAACCTAAGGCCAGCTCGAGTGCCTCAGAAATGAGGTCAACTCCTGGGACCTAAAGGTGGGTGAATACTCAGTGTTGGGAAAGGAACCCGGGGCAAGTGAGTTAGCTCAGGACAGAGTTCCCACCACCTCATTGTGGACATCATGATGCCCAACTCTGTCGTGAGGGTTGCCCTGTGCCTTGTAGGACGTTTATCAGTGCCCTGGCTTCTGTGTAATACATGATAGCCACTGCATCCAAATATCTCTAGAGGGTTGACGAATGTCCCTGCCTGCAGGAGGGTGGCAAACGGCCCCCAGTCATGGGCACTGATGTGGACCACTGAAAGGAGTGAGATCTGCCCCTGGCTCTCCCATTTAATCATTCAACCTAAAAATGCCACTTTGGCCAGAAGAGCCTCTCCCTTGCCGTAGACAGTTCTGGAGGATGGATTCCAACCCACCAGAGGCCAGCACCATTTACCCAGCAGGAGGGCCAGTCTCCCCATTGAGGACAGCATGGGGCTTCACAGCCCTGTCATGTGACCCAAGGACGCCTCAGACGTTGAGAAGGGAAAGCACAATGGGGCCAGGTGGGGATTCCAGAAGCTCAGGATAGGGACCCCTCTAAAGCCCCATCCCTCTCTCGCACCTTAACTCTGTTCTTGTTAATCTCCTCATCCGAGATCTTCCACGGACAGTCCCTCCTCATCTCAGCCACAGTGGCCTCATCCTTGAAGCTGTCATTCAGGCGGAAGGGTGCAATCATGTCCTCAAATCGCTTGGTGCTGGGAAGGAAAGTACAGGTGAGGCTGTGGCATGGCCTTGTTTCCAGGGGAGCCAGGAACTTGGGGGAAGTTCAAAGTAGGGACACCACCCACCAGACATACTCCTCAGACGGAATCCATCCCACTTTGTCATTTATATTGAATGGCTTACACGCAGCCTCTTGACTCTCAGGCCTGACATTCAGCCAATTTTCACATGTTGTCCACTAACCTGGACTCTCCCCTCCCAACCCCACTCAGCAGGTAGCACCAAGTACTGCTACCCCACGGTCAGCAGGAGAGGCTGGACCCCATCATTAAAGCCTTGATCAGCTGGAGGGCAGTGAGGAAACAAATACAGATTAAGCAGGTGTCTTAGGATGATATGCCCTGAGTCCTGCAACAGGGAATAATAGGTAAGGAAAGCCTCTCAGCTAACTGAAGGAAACGTGTCCTTCCGAGCAGTTGTGTGTACACAAGGCACTGGGTGGAGAAACCGTTGGGGTTAGAAGAAGGGAGGAGCAAGCAGAGAGATCTCCAGGGCCAGCGCTGGCCCTTCTGTCTGGCACTCCCAACATGGAACTCACTGCTCAGCCTGAGGCTTCTGATTGATGTCCGGAAGGACGTGAACTTCATGAAATCCCAGTCTGAACTTGCTCAAAAGAGAAATGATCCTGGAAGAGAGATGCAGAACTTTAAAAAAGTATCCACTCATTTTGATGTTTATCATGCCCCCGATGAATGAGTAGAAATGAACAGAACAGATGTGGCCAGCACAGGAGGCAAGGTGGCCAGACAGTGAGACAGGCGAGTGGAGTAAATCCGAGAGTGGCCAGCAAAGTGGAAAAATACTGACCAGAATTCCTCAGGTGTCTGCTGGTCAGGAAGAGTCTGGGGTGCTGCTAGGGGCGGGACCACCCTTTGAGACGTGGGAAGGAGAAGATGAAGAGGGAACCCGAAGAGAGGTGTAGCCACAAAGACAGCAACACACAAGCGCGAAAAAGACAACCAGGAACCGCAAGACAGATGGTACTAAGTTGGCATCTGGGGGAGAGAATCCCACGGCGGTCTATGCAGTCAGGAAAGACTTCTCCTCTGACTGGCTGGTGCATGGCGGAGAGCCTGGGACAGGGCAATGACCACACTGGAATCACCCAAGGATCTTGCAGTGCTGGGTCACAACACCTAGGCATCACCCAGATGCCCCCAGGATGTGTTGTGTCCACCGGGCTGAGGCCTACTGGACTTCCTGGAGGAGGAAACCAGCAAAGGTAAGGGTGAAATGTCTGTGGTAGCACAGAGCATCCTAGGAAGGGGGGGCTGAAAGGCCCCGCACCAAGACCCCAGCTGACTCTTGAGCTTAGGAGTGGGACTTTAAATATTTTTCCTAAGATTTATTTTTCTGTACATGTATGTGTGTGTCTTTCTTTATATGCCATGTGTGTAAGGGTGTCCAAGGTCAGGGGATATCAGTTATAGGCAGTGTGAGTTGCCCATGTGGGCGCCGGGACTCCAACTTGGGTGGTATATAATAAAGGCAGCAAGTACTATAAATGGCTGAACCATCTCTCTAGTCCCCTCAGCCCGCTAGGCCTTTGTGCTTTGTTTGGTTTGGGGTTTTTTGTTGTTGTTTTGTTTTGTTTTTTTAAACAGGGGTTCTTTGTTAGCCATGGCTGTCCTAGAACTGGCTCTGTAGATCAGGTTGGGCTTGAACCCAGAGATCCACCTTCCTCTGCCTCCCAAGTACTAGGATTAAAGGTGTGCACTACCACTGATCAGCTTGGTTTGGTTTTTTGAGACCAAGCCTCCTGTAGCTCAGGCTGGCCTCCAGCTCACTAAATAGCTGAGGATGACCTTGAACTTCTGAATCTTCTGCCTCCCAGCACTTAGCATCATGCCTTATGTATGCGGTGCCGAGTGTTACACTCAGGGCTATGCACACACTCAGCGAACATAGCTAGCTATGCTATATTCCCAGAAGTAGGGCTTTTAAAGCAGAGCTGGAACATGTCAGGGGCCCAGCAGGCCGGGGGTCACAGAGACAGCAGATCGCCTAGCCCACTAAGTGGCAGTTGGGACAGATGGGTTTTTATAACTGCTGTTACCTGATGGAATCACTTGGAGCTAAGCCAACCTCACGAAACTCAGCTGCCACCCGGAGCTGGCACAGGAAGCAAAGACTGCTGCAGAACCTTCTGGTCTGTTTACCCTTTGAATGTCCTGAAAGCCAGGTGCTGCTGTCCTCAACACAGCCCTTGGCCTTGCCCAAAGAAGGCGCTTTTGTTGGTAAAGTTCTCACTGCCTGTAGTGGGGGGAGGGAGGTAGCAGGGACAATACTGCTGGGCCTAGAGAACTCAGAGGGTAACTAGAAGAAGTTCCGGTGTAAGAGGAGAGGTGCAGGCCAGCGGTCACCTCCCATCCTGTCCTCAGGACATCATGGGCCTGTGCTAGAGCTGGCACCAGGCTCTTCTCTTCAGACAAACTGTCCCGATTTGTTCAAGCAGGTTTCATCTATGACCTTTAATCTTAATTCCCCTTGCTGGAAAGTCGCCATTGACCAGTTCCTCCCCTCCAACTCATGCCAACTTGACACCTCCGAGACCACACCTCTCTGTGTACTTCTGGTCTATTTAAGGCAAGTCACATTCTGCCTTAGTGCTGTGATTTGCATACTGTTTACCCCCATGAACTCAGGTTAAAATTTAATCCTCCTGTTCTGGTATTTATGGGCAGAAACTTTGGGACATGTTTAGGATTGGACCAGGTCATTGGGGTTGCACCTCATGATTAACTGAACTTTGGTGGCTTCATGAGAAGGGGAACACACGGATGTGCACACACTTACACACATACACACACACACACACACACACTTACACACACACAGCCTCTATCTTGCCATGTGATGTCCTATGTCACCATAACCTCGGGTATCTGCAAGCAGGAAGGCCATCACCAGATGTGGTCCTTAGACTGAATCTCCAGAACCATGAGCAAAAGGAAATCTTTATGAGACAGACTGCCTCAGAAGTTTGGTTATAGTCATTTTTAAAAGGGCTAAATAAGATACATTTCAGTAGCAAATCTTATCTTCTAATTAAAACAGATAGCAACACTTGTTGCCAGAAAGAGGTAACAATGGATAAATGCAACAAACAATACATGCATAAGAGTCACCAAATTCGGGCCAGAAGGCATTGCCTGCCAAGCCAAGGAGCCAGGCCTGCTCTGTTTGCTTAGACGGGGCAAATGAGTTCAAGTATAGGCAAGCCTTACACCAAGATCTCCTGCCAAACCAGCCAGATCCTGAGAGGGAATTAACAGTCACTTCTCACCAAGAGATTTGGTGCGATTTTTCGATTCTTTGCTACTGCATCTCCTGGCCACTTAGGCCACCCCGTGTCTCTCTGTGAGCCTGCATCCCTACTTGGGGGACAGTGTCAGAAATCATTCTCATCTTGCTTCACTTACCTCCGTCCTGCCTGTCTTTGGAGAGCCTCGTGATTTCAGCACTTACCACCCACCTGTTCCTATCTAGCAAACACCCAGGACACCTGGGTCGTCTCAGGGTGGGACAGGAAGCCAACACTTTGGAAATCGAGAGAGCTCCTGCCTGAGCCCATTGCTGTGGACTGGAGAGAGCTGGCTGGGCTTTGGGACAATCTCAGGGCCACCCAGGGGCGCGGGTGGAGGGTACAGGGACAGGGAATCAGGCATCCTCAGGAAGGCAAGATGGCGGTCAGTACAGGCCCCACGGTCCCCACTTACGCCTTTCTCTCCTCGTCCATCCTGTTGATCTGGCCCCCAACAAACACCCGGATCTTGCATTTGCCCCATCTCTTCTTCCGGTGCAGGAGATAGGGAATGAGCAGGGTGAGGCCTGGGAGGGACAATCCCCAGGAACCAAGAGAATAGACTCAGGATAGAGCCCTCTGTGTGTTTCCAACCCGCGCTGCCCCAGCGAAACCTTCCCCTCTGGACCTTAGCCCCTCTCCGTGGAGGAACTCTCCAGCCAGACTAAACCCACTGGCATGGGTCTTGGTGGGCTAATGTGGGAGTTTGGTTTTTTGTTTTGTTTTTTTCTGGGTAGACCTGCCTGTTCTGGAACTCACTCTTGTAGACCAGGCTGGCCTTGAACTCACAGAGATCTGCCTGCCTCTGCCTCACAAGTGCTGGGATTAAAGGTGTGTGCCCACATGGCAGGAGTTTGGCTCTTTATTTTTTTTATTATTGTTATTTAGCTTTTTTGGTTTTTTGTTTTGTTTTGTTTTTGTTTTTCCAGACAAGGTTTCTCTGTGTAGCCATGGCTGTCCCGGGACTCACTCTATAGACCAAGCTGGCCTCCAACACAGAGATCTGCCTGCTTCTGCCTCCCAGTTATTTGTCCTTTTTGAGACAAGGTTTTATTATGTAGTTGAGGCTGGCCTTGAACTCTTGATCCTCCTTCGTCTACCTCCCAAGTGCTAGGATTATAGGTATGTGACTTCATGACCCCAGCCGATGAGGTGGTTTTAAATAATCAAGCTGACACTGAGTACTTGGCGTTTGAGGTGAGGACGGGAAGTTAGCAAGTAACATCAGGGTGGTCTTCACTTATTTTCTGAAACCTGAACATCTGACCAATGAGTAGGAGCCATCCCTCCATACACAGCCAAGGCCCAGCCACCACACAACCACTGTAGGCTCCTCTGTGCCTCAGTTCCCTTTTTTAAGAGAAAGACTGCACTGGGCTAGCCCACAGGAGCACTGGCTGCCAGGCTTAGGTTCATATAGCCCAGCCTGCACAGGTGCCGCTCATCAATGAACTACACCGTTACTCGGGTATCCGCAGGGCAATTGGCTCCAGGACCTGCCCTCAGATGCCTACACCTGCAGGTGCCACACAGCTTCTACAGTACGGTGTAAGGTCTGTGTGCAACCTACACATGACCCTGAATATCCCTTAGGCCATTTCCTATCACACCTGTCATAAAGCGTGTATCATCAAAATTGCTCCTGGGTTTTATCGAAGAGAAACGGTGACAGGAAAATTAGTTTGTATATGTTTGATACAGATGTGATTTTTTTTTCCCTCTCAGTATTTTGGTCTACAGTAGGACCGGAGTGAAGTGGAACCCACAGACACAGATGGTTGATATGTTCAGTTGGGGTAGGGCTATGGTCTCTTTCTGACTCTATCAAAGACAGAATCATTAAAGCTGAGAGCTGTGTCTTAAAAACCAGGACAGGCTAAGGCCTTTGTCCGCTTTGCTGGCTTCTGGGCCTCACCAGAGGCCTCAGGAAGCACAGCCTTGAAGGGCAGATCAGAAGATGCAGAAACCCAGAAGACAGAAAGTCCCAGGGGACAGGGATGGGTCTGAGGGAACCTGACCTCCATCATCAAACAGCCAGTAGATGTCAATGGTCCTTTTGCCTTGCTCCGACTGGAAGATGGTGCTGGCTTGCTCCTCCTGTACCAACGCCTCTGGGGCTGATGAAGAAGGGGCAGGCCTGAGTAGAGCCAGCAGGGTCACTGCCAGGACCTGCCTGAGAGTAGCTAGCTTTCCCAAAGAGGGGGGCTGGCCATTGTCACCAAGGTGGGCGTGTAGTGGCCAGAGGCATCCTGCAGGCCTGGCCAGACACAGCCATGGCCTTGCCCGTGCTCCTGAGATGCTATGTGAGCCCCTTCCCGGCTCCCAGGGCCACTCTCGCTGGATCCCAAGGACACCGGAGGACTGTTGTTTGGGAGCACACTCTGCATCTCTGCAGCACCCCTCTTCAGATGGAGCCTGTCCTTCTTCATGTGCCTCTTCTCCCCCTCACAAGCACAGCAGGACACTCCTGCACGGTGTCCCTGACAAAAGGGAACAGCATGCCGTTCCCCTCTCTCTGTGTATGGCATTAAACATGGCTGAAAGGGGGTTCTCAAAGGGGTGGAGCTTCAGCCCACAGCCCCAGATTCATCATTGGGCAGGTCGTCTTCAACAGGAACCCTAAACCTACTGTAACCCAACCTCAGTTATTAGGGCATCACGGTCACAAGAGAAAGGCATTCACTCTTGGCCAAGTTCCTGTCACTAGCAACCCCACAGGTCAAGAGTCGGGGGAACCGACCCATGACAGACACAGATGGCTTAGCCCCACCTCCACTGGCTCCATTGCCTTCCTCTGCTGGGTCAAACATTTTTAGTTTCTTAACTGCAAAAAGAGGGGACAGCTGGGCTGCTGGCACTCCTGCCTGGGGAGCATGCTGGGATCCTCAGCCCCTGGCTCTCCCCTAACACTAAAAGAAAGTCCCTCTACTCCCCAGGGTAACTGACTGCTGCTTGCTTCCCTTTTGCCCTGGCTCCTGCCCTGCCCTCCCTGGCAAGCCAGCTGTTTTAACTTCCTCTTGCTCCCCCACAAGACAGGGCCCCTCAGGGTGGAGGGTGCCCCTCTCGAGCCCCTCTTCCCCCAGCTCCACTCTCCTCAGAGACAGGCAGGCCTTGTCCTCAGAGAGGCCTCTGAGGATCCTACATCCGTTTCCTCAGGACTCTTTCATGTCTGAGGTGACCTGTGTGTCCACCGTGATAAACATCCACTTTGTCCCCAGAGGCAGCACCCTGGGTGGGTGGGGAGGGGCTTTGTTTGTTCCCTGCCTAGAGCACTTACAATATTTTGGTGGCTGACCCTGTCACAGTGGCTGCTTAAACATTTACTGTGTGGATGCTATGGGCAGGCATATCCCTGCCCCTGGTGACAGCGCCCTTGCCTGGAAAGAACAGAGTCCTGCCTGCATGTCTGCCAGTCCTGACCTCTCTGTGTCTTCCTCACATCTAACCATCACTAGTTCAGACTCTCCCCAGGCAGGCGCAACTTCCAAATGCTGAAAACACGTTCCTATCGTGAGCCCCAAGGGCAGACTTGAGTTCTCCAGATGGTCCAGTGCCCACGGCCTTTGTGTATTTTCCCTGTGGCATTTCTGCGTGGGCAGGCTCCTCCCCTTTGCCTTTTCTCTCTCAGATGTTCTTTACCTGCATGGTTATTTGAGCACCACAGTGATGTGGGGAGTTCTAGTCCTCTGTCTGCCCCTAGCTGGGAGCACGATCTTGACCTGGTCACTTCCCCTTTCAGGGCCTCATTTCCATTTGGAAGCCGGTGGGCTCCAAGGAACTGCTAAGGACTGGCTATCTACAAGTTGGTGACTTCACCTCCTTGCACTGCTTGGGAAAGCCTCTGGTTTTCGGCAGGCGCTGATGAGGTGCAGCGGGTACTCACCGTGCATCTGCATCACCTCAGAGACGTTGAGCCCCTCATGCATCCTCATGACACACACGCCGTAGTTGAAGTCAAAGGCATCACTGGAAAGAAGATGTGGGGTCAAGCCACTGGCCCTGCGACCTGGCTCCCAGGAGACCACATGTCGAGTGTTGATCTGTGGGCCTCAGTTTCCCTGAGTGTATAGTGGACAGGCAGAACTGGGGAGTCACCTGTGGCACTCCTAGGGAAGTTGGGCCCTGCTTCATGTCATACCTGTTCCTCTTTATCAGTTGTCAACCTCTCTGCCACAGTAGTGTGTGTGTGGGGGGGGCTCTAACCTCTACTTCACACAGGCAAACCTGTCCTGGGAACTGAGTGGTTGGCACTAGCATTATATGGCCAGAACTATAAGCTGATGGACAGGTGTGCCACAAAGGCATGGCCTCGCTCACGTGACAATACCAAGGCCTCCCTGAGGGTTTGACACACTAGGCTAAACTCCCTCATGAGATCATTCAGTTACACATCTCTGGACTGCCCTGGTCACTGGAACAGCGGGGAGCCTGGGGGCCAGATTTTCGACCCCATGTCATGATTGTGTTAAGCAGCTGGGGTAACAGCTGAGTCACATAGAGGGTTAACAGCAGACGGGGACGCAGGCTCCAGGGCCTCAAGGCTCAGCCTGTGTTTCGACGGCCCTCCCCTCTGTGTGGCATAACACCAGAAGAGCAATCCAGACGGGTGTTCCCTACACCTGCCAAGGAATGGCTGGAGGGGCCGAGACTCAGTCAATGCTGAAGCCCTCCCGGACCAAGAGCTTGTGAGCCGGGCAACTGTGAGCCCTCAAGGATTTTCACTCAACAGCCACCATTCTCAGCTACTCTGGAAGGCTGAAAGTTCCAACAACCCTGGTCCTGCACTCTGAGGGGACAAACGTCCAGAGCTTTCTCCAGCTCGCCACAGTCCCCACTGCTCCCCAGAGTCCCATACACGGCCCACGCCACTCTTTGTGTTGCCTGTGAAGGCCAAGGTGAGACCCCCGCTCAGTCAGTTCCGCCTCAGCCTTCACCTCGTGACTCGGGTGGGCGTCTACACTGCCGCTGCCCTGCTTCTCCAGGCCCAGGGGGCCCCAGTGACCCAAACCAACAGCTCACAGCTGCATCCTGGCGCTCACTCACTGCAGGATGCCAATGTAGTCCTCCACTGTGGCCGGGTGAGCGGACTGCCAATTTTTCTTGAATCCGACCACCAGAATGTTAGGCTTCATTCTTCCCAGCCCTGAGGCCTGCAGGGTAAGGGTGGAGAATCCAGTCAGAAGATGGCCTGGGATCAGCAGGAGTTCTGTTCTGTGACAAATGACCCTGGTGGGGGGGGGGCTCTTCCGGGGCTCAGGGTTCTGTCCACGGAGAAAGCGTGTCAAGTTAGAGGACCCTTGGGGTCACCTAGTCTATATATCCTCTCTCCCTCCCTCTCCCTCTCCACCTTCCTCTCCCTCACTCTCTTCTTTCCTCCCTCTCTTTTGTTGATCTTCCTGTCTTTGCCTCCAATGTGCAGGAATTATAGAGGTTTGTATTCTAACAGGTTCTTTCTCTCTCCCCCATCAAGATTCTTTAAAACATTTGGAGTGAAATCAGTGTAACAAATTGACCATTTTAGGCCCAGCACTCAAGGTGCAGAGACAGGCAGATCTCTGTGAGTTTGAGGCTAGCCTGGAGGTCTACAAAGATGGTTCCAGTTAGACAGGGCTACACAGTGAGACCCTGTCTCCAAAAGAAATTAATCCTTTAAAAGGATGCAACTCAAAACAAATAAATGTAAATTCATGTACATGCATATGTATATGTACATATATATGTAAATATATCAAGCTGGGCATGGTATACATGCCTCTAGTCACAGCTTCCAAGCAGACAAGGGGTTTGCTCAATGGTAGAACACTTGCCTAGTACACAGGAGGTCTTGTACCTGATCTACCACTACCCCATGCCTCCACTCCTGACCCCCCAAAAGCTAAGGCAGGAGGATCTTCAAGTGAACCCAAGGAATCTGGGGCAAACCAGACAAAATAATTCAGAAACTTGCATACCCTACATAGCAGTCACCTGTCTCAAAAAAGAAAGAAAGAAAACCAAGTGTACACTTACTACGTCATCGTCTCTATCTACTTCTAAGATCTAAAACGTTTTTGAATCCCTCCCCAAGAGACCTCACGCATTTTTTTTCAAGTTGAGAAACAGTTAAAACCATTGAGAAGGATTCAGGTGTTTCACATGAAAGTGTGGAGCAGTAAATTCATTGGCCAGTGGAACATTCTCGATGCTGACCTGAGGGACGGTTACACACCAAGCGTGGTGTCCACATATACAAACATTTGTCACTTTATGGTTTTCACTTTACTAAATGTAAATTGTATCTGAAAAAATGAAAGGGAGGAAGGGCTCAAGTCATGTAGGCCAGTACTTCTAGCTCCCTAGGAGGGTGAGGCAGGGGGATTGCAAGTCCCAACCCGCCTAGGCTGTAGAGTGAGTTCAAGGCCAGCCTGGACAATTTAGTGAGACTCAGCCTCAAATACTACTTTTTAAGTAAAAAAGGATCTGTGGATGTAGCTCAATGGTAGGGCCACTACCCAACATGCACTGAGGCTAGTTCAGCAAAAAAAAAAAGCTAAAACTCAACTAAATTTAACTAAAATAAAATAAAACAGAAAGAGGAACTGGGAAAAGCCATGGAGTCCCCACAGGGTCCCAGGGGTCCTGGGTATTCCTGAACCAGCAGAGCTTGAGACAAGCGAGTTGGGGACCTCCAATGTGGTCACTGAAGCTTAAACTAGACCAGGACGTTCTGCCTTGCAAGCTGCACGGCCGGGGCACCTGCATGAGGATCTGGACCCCACTTCGCAGATCCTCGGCAATGACGTCTGAGTAGAAGGCCTTGATCTTCCTCTTGTTCAGCCACTTGGTGTGCCCACTGGCGATGTGCTGGAGCTCGGGTGCTCTCTGCTTTCGGGGTCCCTGTGGATGAGGGACAGGTGGTGTCAGGGCTGTCCCCACCAACCAGCCTGACTCAGCCTTCCTCCTGTCCCAGAGGCTCCCCTGAGACTCAGAAGCACCTAAAGGTGTTCTTCACTAGAGTAGAGGAAGGAAGCTAGGCGTTGTGGCAGTTGGGTGGTAGAGGTAGGGTCAGCCTCAGCTACACGGGGAACTTGAGCCAGCCTGGGCTTCAAGAGACTATGTTTTGGACAGGCTGTTAATCCCAGCACTCGGGAGGCAGAGGCAGGTGGGTCTCTGTGAGTTAGAGTCCAGCCTGATCTACAGAGTGAGTTCTAGGACAGCCTCCAAAGCCACAGAGAAACCCTGTCTTGTAACCCCCCCTCCCCCCAAAAAAGAGAGACTATGTCCTGAAAGAGGGACCTGGCCAGACTGCTGGCACCACTTGCTTTGCTCCTCCTATTCTCTGGTAGACATTGCATCCAAGTCCAGTCCCCTGCCTCTGCATCCTCCATCCCACGTGCCCCCCCAACCCCCTGCCAGGGTACAGATGCCCCCCCATACTCACAATAAGCACATGGCCACAGATCATCAGGCTTAGGTTCTGGGTAAACGTGCTCACAAAGTCCACCAGCGCTGGGCGGAAGTTGGGGGGACCCGTAAGCACCAGGCACTGGGGGCTAGGAAAAGAGGGCCCAGAGCATGGGTGTCGGGAGAGAGCCCTTAGGGCTTTCATGCTGAAGGTAGGTGCCCCTGAACGCCTGATTCCCGATGACCCTGGTGAGACTGTGGGCACTGACACATTCTTCCAGCTGTGACTCGGGGTCTTTCAGGTTTGTTTTTTTTTTTTTTTATGTTGTTGTTGTTTGTTTGTTTGTTTTCAGGTCATGAGACAAAGTCTCCCTGTCCTTCTTGCTCGGGTCATCAGATTGACCAGTCTACATAGTTCCTTTGCCCCGCCAAGCCCAGCGTGGCAAAACAGAGCAAAGATCAGTCATAAGGAGGCCATTGTTTACACTCCCTGTACCTTGGCCAGGCGCCTGAACTTTTGTGTTGAGAGGCAGCACAGGACTGTCATTAAATACCCCTGCCCATCAGAGTTCCACTCACTGGTTCATTTACCAGCCGGGCAAACAGGGGTAACCTGTTAACATCTCCAAAGTCGTTTGTCCTTGCCTGTGTCCGAGGTTAGTACCGTCGAAGGCCTCAGAAGTTGGTCATGAGTGTCTGGGTCACAGTAGGTAGGACATGACTAAATCTTACTGATTAAAATGCCGTCGGGTAGGAGGAAGATGGAAGGTAGATGACCGTTCCTCAACATTGGGAACCAGCACTGAAGACACCAAGGGCAGACTTGTCACGGCCGGCATCCCAGGATTGTATCCTGAGAATTGCACCAAGAAACCCAGACGGCGGAAGACTTGCACCATAGAAACTGAGACACAAGGACCTCTTCCTCGATTAGTCCTTACCGGGCAGTGCCAAGCCTAGCCCTCCAACCCTCAGCTGCTCTTACACCTTGGTGCTACCATCCTGGATCTGCCAGGGCAGGAGACCACACCTCCAGGCTCCCAAGTGGCCCAGAAGCCATGCTCACCGGTAGTTTTTGATGTGGTCTTCCACCTCATTGAGGCCCATGGAGTAGCTCAGGGCAAGGTTGTAGGAGTGGGCCTGCACTGAGGAACCCCAGTTCACCTCTGAGGGCGGAAGGGAGACAGTAAGACTCAAGACTGCAGGAAGTAACCAGTCACATGGGGGGGGGGAAGGGGGATGTCTACCTTTCTTAGGCCCAGAGCACCTTGGGACAAGGCCATGGACAGATGGACAGCAGGCAGCTCTATTCCTGTCTAATACGTGCAGGTGTAGAGAGCCGAGTGCCGCGCATATGGCCACCCAGTTCAAGATTATGTAGCAAAGCCTCGAACTCCCACTCGAAAAGCAGAGCTCCTAGAAGGCCAGGCTCAGATGCAGAGTTCTAGGGTCACCTCCCTCAGACTGCAAGTAGACTGGCTTCCCCTGTGCCCGCCTTCATACCTTCATACACCACACTTGTATGTATGTAGCAGCTAGCCCCTCTAGGATCCTAACGCGTCTGGCCCCGAGTGGCCATGTGCCTTTGAGCCCCTGGCTCAGGATGACTGAGGTGGAGGCCAGCCCCAGTCCTACTGAAGGGAAATGCTCCATCTGGGAGGAAGGGCTACCCCGGCTGCATGGCTGCCCAGGCAGGGAGATGAACCCCAGGGAGACCACGGCCACACACCTGGCTTCTTGTAGATCACGTAGAGCAGGAGGAAGAGGACAACTCCGATGGCAATGAGAGCCGCCCACCAGGTGAGCAGGAACATGATGACCACCGAGATCACGGCTCCAAACAGCGCTGCCCACTTGCTGTAGTATTGGAAGGAGGGTCTCCACCCTGGGCGGGGCCAGGTCAGTGCGCATGCCCATGCTCAGGAGCCTTCTCCTTCCCAGACCTGCAGTAATGCCCGCGCCTCCACCCCAGTGCTGCGGTCCTGGCCTTACCCACTAGCCAGGAATTCCTAGGGCCCCACCAGCCTTAACTCCTGGAGTGGGTCAGGGAGGCTCCAAAGGCGTACCATAGCCATGCCTGTTGGGCATTTATTTCACCATGGTGACAAGCTACACCAGGAAGGGAACACCCAGCCCTGGCCAAGCACAGCCCCAACACGAGTGGCAGTGCCAGCTCCCACGGGTCCTGTGGAATCCAGGCAATTAAAAGAATGGAGGGAGACTTGAGTCTACCTGGCTTTGTGGCAGGTTAGGGCCACTTCTAGTGACCATTGTACCCCGCACATCTCTGAGAGTGCAGGGAACATTGCAGTCTGTGTGGAAAGTGATGGGATAACAGGCCCATGGAAGATCTGGGATTCGTTAGCACAACTCTTCCTCTGTGCTCTTTACTGCCATCTGCTAGAAGGCCTGCAGCTGCAGCCCAGAAATTGCTGCAGTCTGAACAGCGCCCCCTAGAGGTGAGTGGTGGACAAAGGGCTGACCCTTCTGGGACTGGGACGTTTGTCCCTTTCTGAGAAACTGGTGAAGGGTGGAACTAGAGTAAGCCCTGTGGCCTGTAAATGATGGCTGGCTCTGTTAGGGAACAGGCATTCCCTTCTTGTGGTTTTAAATTCAGGTTGCTTTGGACTGCCCACCTCCCCCCTCACCTACCCCCAAAGCCCCACTGCCCAAGCCTCTCTGCCCCTCTGCGCCTCTTCCTGTGGTTGGGGCCAATCTGCTTACCGGGTGAGTTGGTGATGGAGGCATGGAAGCAGCTGAAGTTGATGAGGGCGTAGGAGCAGAGGAAGAAGTTGGAAATGATGGGGGCAATGGTGTTGAGCTCAGCTTCAAAAACCCAGGGAGAGAGGGGCCGCATGTTGGGCTCTACCCAGAAGCTGCCTGGCACCCAAGCCCGTAGGGTAGCCCCTGGCACAGCCAGGTCTTGCTACTCAGTCAGCTTGACCTTCTCATGTGGGAAGTGAGTCCTTCCCCATGACGTTCAGTGGCTTAGAAAACTGAGGGGGGCGGCTGGATCACGGTTGGTGAAGACACTGGCCACCAAGCCTGCTGGCCTGAGTCAGGCTTTGGAACCCATGGGGAAGAAGGGAGGAGCTCCTGTAAGCTGTCCTCTGGCCCTCACATGCACCCGCCGCTGCCACCAGCACCACAAGGTGGCAGATACAATAAAAAAATACTTAAAAGAAGATGGGGAAGGCTAGTGGTGACCAAGGTAGTGGCAATGGCGCTTTCAGATCACAGATTAGCATAAGATACATTTGGCCGTGTGAGGCAGTGGTTCTCAACCTTCCTAAAGCTGAGGACTCTTTAATACAGTTCCTCATGTTGTGGTGACCCTAACCATTCAATTCTTTCATTGCTACTTTGTAACTGTAGTTTTGCTACTGCTATGAATCAACATTAATATCTTTTTTGTTTGCTTTTGTTTTATTTGCGACAAAGTTTCTCTGAGCTTTGGAGCCTGTCCTGGAATTTACTAGGCTGGTCTTGAACTCACAGAGATCCGCCTGCCTCTGCCTCCCGAGTTCTGGGATTAAAGGCATGCGCCACCAATGCCCGGTCAACATTAATATCTGATATGAAGGACATCTGATATGCTACCCCCGTGGAAGGGTCTTGCGGCCCAAGGGGTCGTGGCCCACAGGTTGGGAACCACTATCTGAGACCATTTTGCAGTCTTGTCTACAGTGGCTTTCTCTTCCCTGTCTGCCTCGCCTCACTACACCCAGATGAACTTGTGTGTCAATCAATCTGTGTTCTTAGTTCTCCTGGGGGACTCAAAGAAAGACAAGCAGTTCTTTTGGATCAGGTACTTTTGCACATAATCCCACTGGGTCCCTTGGAGCATCTGGGGTCATAGTCCTCAGTTTGGCCAAGTCAGAGCCTTACAGCCCTGAAGCTGTAAGGAACATGTCTGGACCTGGGCAGCAGGAGACGGGGTGGGTCCTAAAGCCAGATGACTGGACTTCTCTACCCCCTAGGTGGGACACTTCTTCATACAATGCCAGACCTAGTGTCTGGAACCTTTCCTTGAGTGGCAGCAACCAGACTGCTAGGGCAAGCTTTATGGATGGTGACTGATGGGGCCGGCCTGAGCAGCAGGAATCCGATAGTGACAGGAGGGTGCCTCTGAGTAGGCTCTCCACAGCCTGTACGCCCCCACTTCTGCATAGGGAGCAGGGCAGGCAGGGGATGGCATGCCATGGTGTAGTCACTTCTCCTCCTTCGGCGAATTCTGTTTCCTTGGCTGAGTTAACCAGGATGTATTGGGTATGTGTATCTGTGAGGTTGTGTCCCCGAGCATGCGGACTCTCTTCCTGCCCATCTGTGGCTCACGAGCTGTGCACTATTGAGCAAACTGTGGCTCTGAGAAATTACTTATCCAGTGCCACCCAGAAGGAATGGTGCAAAGCCAGCAGAAGCCAGTCAACCTAACTGTTATCCGGGCACTTTCTCCTGGGACAGGTCCTGAGGCTGGGTGAGAGGATGGCTTTGCCTGGTTTAGGTATCTGCAAAGGTATTGATTGAGCCAGCCATTTGTATCAGCTTGGCCTATCTCCACTGGTGTCCTGGGGATGGGATGGTGTCCCAGCTGTCAGGACAGTGGCATGCAGAAGCAGGAAAGGCAGAGAAGACCCCCCCACCCTATCCATTCTGGAGATGGGTGGCTGGAGTGGCTTCTTGGCCACCCTGTCTAGAGGTGGGAAAGGATCATGAGGTCTTTCCAAAAGCCCTCCAGGCATGCCTTCACTCACTCAAGAGTTACTCAGTGGGGCTCTGGTGTGCCTTGGAGGTAAAGCAAGTGTTCGGTGTGGGCCTGGCCTGGTTACTTCCACGCCCAGCTATTCACAGAGTGCCCAGTAACAGCAGGGCTGAGAGGGGCCGGTCCTAGGACTTTCACGGAAGACAGGCGAGGAAGGAGCCTCTTACCAATGATGATGAAGGCCACCGCGATGGCATAGGCCAGCAGGTAGCCACGCACAGGCTCGTTGTTCTTGCCATAGCCTTTGCCGAAGAAGCCAATCAGTGGGTACAGCTGGTCTTCGCAAAGGCACTGTGGACAGGGTACGCCATACTCAAGCCCTGGCTGGGACCTGCCCCTTTCCCAGGCCACTGTGCTCTTGACCCGTGTGGCCCCCCTATGACCTCAGCAGTTCCTTTATCTGGGGACAGGGTAAACCCCAGCCCTCTCCTCGCCTGGAGACCAGACTGTTTCCTTTAAGAGTTTGCCTGTTCTGTGTCCCTCCACCCAGACCCATATCCCATGACACTCTGGGGCTTCACAGCACTCTCCTCTCCCCAGTCACAACCCAGCACTCCCAGAGGTCCCTTTCTGCAACCTTACCTGGAAGACCTTGGCAGCAGAGACAAGACAGGCCAAGGCAGAGGACAGGGTGGCCCCGAAGATGCCGGCTGTGATCAGGGGTGCAAAGGCGGACACCATGCTCATGGTCTGTGGGAATGGTAGGGGGCTGAGCTAGAAACCCTACTGCTCACCCCTCCCTCACGGCACCCAGTGGCCACCCAAGACCTACTCACAGGCAGGGAGTGGGAATGAGAGAGTAGGGACGAGAGCCCTACCTGGGCAGGAAGTCCCACCCCAGGCGTGGGCAATAACTTCCCACAGTTTCCTCTACCTCTCCGGCCTCGAGTGTCCTGTAGCCAGGCCCACCGCTTATACCTGGTAGTAGTTGATGAGGCCATAGCGGCAGCTGTGCTGCTGGGAGCATTCCGTGAAGTTCCAGCCATAGCCACAGGCCAGCCCTTCACAGGTGCCTGGGCCAGGAGTCACTGTATCATTCAGATCCCCAGAGGCGTCTCTCACCACACAGGAACCTGAGAGGAGGAAGATGTGTGTTGAAGGTGTGTGTGCATGTGTGCGTACATGTATGTATGTGCGTGTGCGCGCGCGTGCATGTGTGTGCACCTGTGTGTACGTGTGCATGCGTGCATTTGTGTAGGTATGTGTGTTTGTGTGCATGTGTGTGTACGTGTGCATGCGTGTGTGTGCGTGCATTTGTGTCGGTATGTGTGTTTGTGTGCATGTGTGTGTACATGTGTGTAGGTGTATGTGTGTGCGTGAGTATGTGTGCGTGTGTACATGTATGTGTGTACGTGTATGTGTGCGTGCATGTGTATGTGTGCGTGTGTGTACGTGTGCGTGTGCGTGCATGAGTGCATATGTGGGTATCTTTTCTTCCTTTCTGTCCTTTGCTGTACCTTCCTCTTCCACCTCCACAGGCTGACCACCTCTGCAGAGGGTGAGACACTGGATAGGACAGCCCTCCTTTATCCTGTGACAATATTAATGATAGGAGCAAGTATAGGGGTGTTTTTGGTGTACCTGACAATCTGAGCAAGGCAGTACTCTTGTTTTTGTTGTTGTCCCCTTTTAACCAAGGCAGAGAGAGCTGAAGGGACCTGCCCAGTGTCCTTAAAGCAGAGATCTGGCTGGCTCTTGAGCCCGGAGCCTATAAAAAAGTTCACATCCCCTGGCCACCTGTGAACAGCTTGCCTCTAAGGTGAATGCTGGAAGCAAGAGTACCAGAGATTCGAGGGAGGTGTTTACCTTGTCTGGACTCCCTCACCATGAAGATGCTGTATCACTGTAGAGGTGACAGATGCCCCAGAACCAGGGCGCAAGGGCCTCTCTGCCTAGCTTTCCCTGTTAGAAGCCAGTACCACGTGGCAGCCTCCTATGGCCTTACTACAGAACAGACCCACTTTTGGCTGTGCTGGCTACTCACCAATGGTAGCCGAGATGGCAAGGTAGGAGATGGTGGTCCAGAAAATGGCCATGAGTGTCCCTTTGGGGATAGCTACAGCAGGGTCCTGTGGGGAGGCAAGGTATTGTCAGACAGCCTGTGGGATTCCTTGTGCCTGGGTGCCTTGGCAGAGGCTGGGGCAGGCAGCAGACCCTGAGCTTGGACCCTCAGAGCCTGACCTGTCATGGAAGAAGAGGGCCCCCAACTGAGGCCTACAAGATCACCCTGTGGTCCCGGGCTTGAAACTGATGAAGGTGAGAAACCTCATCAGCTCCATATCCCACCCACAGGGGACCCCTGGCAAGGCTCACTGTGGGTCTGGTGGTCAGGGGGAAACTGTGCCTGGCTCTCCACCTCAGACTCCTATGTGAACAGTGGCAGCCGCCAGCTACCGCTGGAAGTTGATCAATCAGTGAATTGATTGCCAGGACCCAGACACTGTTCACCTCGCTGTGTTGCAGTAAATCACCATGGACTGATTATTTGTCTGGCTCTCCAGCAATAAGGAGACAGAAGACATTCCCCAAACATTCTTCTCCAAAAAAGAGATTTTCCCCAACAGTAATCACACTTCTTACCTCCCACCCCTAACACACACACACACACACACACACACACACACACACACACACACACACGGGTCATACCCTCCTAGGCACTTTCCCAAACAGAACTTCCTGAGGTGATCTGTGCAATGCCACCCAGCCAGTGAGGGACCAAGGGTGGCAGGGTGTGAGGAGGGCAGGGTTACAGAGCCTCTGGTGCCTCAGACTCCAGGAGCTGGGACCAGAGCAGCTAGCTGCACTGGCTGCTTTTCCACGGTAGCCCGTGGGAAAGCAAGACCTGTTCCACCCGGGAGGCATAGACCGGGGGAAGGGCGAATCCGCCATGAAGTAACTGCACACCTCCCGTGCTCTGTGGGGCCCAGTGGACAGATCACAATGTGGAAAGGGGTGGCAGGCAGGCTGGTGAAACAAACGTAGGGGACAGAGAGGGAGGGGGCTGCAGTCTGGGGGACTTGTATTGGTTGGGGTCTCTGTTAGAGGATCCTATAACCCTGGCCTTGCTAGCGATGCCCAGTGGCCTGGGTTATGCACAGTGAAGCCCTGGCCTGATTCCAACAGCACATACTGGGATTTCTCACCCTTAAGGATTTCCCAGGCCTCAGTCTTAACCCAACAACTATGGTGACCAGCATTCTCTGTCCCCTTCAATCCCCATCCACCCAAAACCTCAAAATGTGCCCTTATTTGGGAAGAGGTCCTTGGAGGTATAAGGAGTAGGGTGAGGTCATTCTTGTGGGGAGTGGAGGAGTCCTGAGTGAGTGATGTCCTGAGTGAATGTGTCAAGGACTCCGATACCTCAGCCCCACAGGAGTTGCAAAGCTCTACATGGGTGAGGTCCAAGAGCAATGCCAAAGTTTGTCTTGGGAGTCTAAGTGCAGGTGAGTGACCAGTGTGTGCAAAGACTGAGTGACCAGTGTGTGCAAAGACAGAGTGACCAGTGTGTGCAAAGACTGAATGAGTGTGCACACAAACTAGCTAACATCTGGCCGGGCGTTGGTGGCGCACGCCTTTAATCCCAGCACTCGGGAGGCAGAGGCAGGCAGATCTCTGTGAGTTGGAGGCCATCCTGGTCTACAAAGCGAGTTCCAGGACAGCCTCCAAAACAATACAGAGAAACCCTGCCTCAAAAAACCAAAAAAAAAAAAAAAACAGCTAACATCTGTAGCTTCTTCCTTCTCCCAAATATGTATAGCCTGAGACTGCTCACCTACCAAAACCAATATCCCCTCCCCTGTGCTGTACCTAATAAACAGGAAGAGGTTCTGGGCTGCTGGCGGCAGGCGGTACCCTCCATTGGAGTGCAGACCCCCCACCAGACCCCAGCTTTCCTGCGCTTGTGTCTGTGTCTGTCCTTTCTTCCTTCCCTCCCTACCCCAGGCAGAGCTGTTCCCGGTACATGCTGGATTACAGTGAGCCTCAAGTGATGACTGGTGATGTATGAGAGGAGGAAGGGACGCAGAGATGTTGACCATCATTAGAGTGACACAGATTAAAACTGCAAGCCCTGGTTCAGGATGGCATTGTCAGGATCCCACACAGATAGGACAAAGCTTAGAAGGACCCCCTTAGAGGTTGACTAGCACCCAAGGTTGTCAAGACCTTCACTGTGGTTCCCAGTCTCCTAGCTGGGAGAGGCTGCTTGTTGTTTTAAGGTCCCTGGGTTGTGGGACTTTGCAGCCACAAGAGAACATGTAACCCTCAACCTCCACTTGCCATCCCTATCTTGGTCTGATGTCTAGAGACGAGCTCACAAGTCAGACCCATCCCTTCCTAGCTGTGTGCTCTGGGAGAGACCTTTCAACCTCTTGGAGACTCAGTTTCCCCATGAGGTGTAGCAAGTGCTCATACATGGAAAGTATAGATGGGGAACGTATCCTGCACACCACTTGCCTGGCCAGCACAACAATGTTGTATCGGCATGAGCGCCCAAGCTCAGATCTCCAGAACCCACATAGATCTTGGCGCAGCAGCATTCATCCGTAATCCCAGGGCTCCAAGGCGGGGTGGGAGGTAGGGGCTGGAGAATATCCAGCTCATGAGGCAGCTAGCCCGGTGTGTGCAGGGTAGACATGAATAAGCCCTGTCTCCAGCAAGGTGGAAAGAAAGACTAGCACCCAAGGTCATGCTCTGAACACATTACATTCACCTTGTATGTGCATGCTTAAGCTTACAGATATGAGCGTGTGCACACACATCATATACACACAAAACATGTGAAGGGCCGTAAAATGGACACAAAACATGTGAAGGGACGTAAAATGGGGTCAGTGATACAGCTCAGTCCTAACGACCTGAGTTTGATCCCCAGGCCCCATTGTGTGGCCTCTCGCTGCTGTGGGGCTATGGCCAGCCCCTGACCCTCCTGTGCCTGGCTTACTAGTCTGCATGATGCTAACAGGGCGGAGATGACAGCCAGTTCCCTGCTTGGACATTCTCTGCTCTAAGCACTTTACATGGAGCAGCTCTCTGAGTCTGCACCTGCTCTATTAGTTTTACTCTACTGTTGGGGAAACTGAGGCTCACAGAGACTACCCAGTCTCACGGTGGGGGTTCTGCTACTGAGCACTGCCCCACAGGAAGGGCAGAGCCAAGTCCAAAAGTCAATTTAAGCCCTAAGGCAGAGGACACAGCAAAGGTACCACATTACCCGGATCTCAGATACATGCTGGCCCTGGGGACGGAAGCTTGGTGACAGTGACAGTTAATAGGGTTTGAAGAGGATTCAGGCTGTGTAAACACAGACCAGGCCTAAGGATGACCTGGGGGTAGGCACCCCTGAGGGTAGGCACCCCAGGCGTCTGCCAGCTGCTCTCTTGAGAACAGTGGGTAAGCAAGCGTTCTGGGCCCCGGGCCTCATTGGGAGATCCAGGCCTAGCCAGCTAATCAGATTGCTTTCTGCGTTGTCTCCAGGAACAACTGGGCTCGCTCTTGGTTTTGATTTGGTTTTGCCCAGGCCGGCCCTGAACTCAATGTGTAGGCAAGAATGATTTTCAATCTTTCTGCTCCTCCTGTCTCGGCGTTATGAGTGCTGGGATTCCAGGCCTGAGCCACCATGCCCAGCTTGCCCAATTTCACGACCATTCAATCAACAAGCACACCGAACACCTAGCTTGTGCCCGACTCTAAGCAGGAAATAGAGCCAGAGATACCGGGCCGACACCCTACACTGGGAACACACCATGGCAAATGGAAGGCCAGGGAGACACTGCACCAGGGATTTGAAAGAGGCACAGAACTTAGCAGAGCAACAAGAACAGGGAATATTAGGTCTCTTAGTCAAAGGCCTGTCATGAGTAAATTAGTCTTCAGGGCAGAGCTGGGTCCTGGAAAAGGTATCAGGGTTCAGAGACGCGTGTCCTCAGTGGTGCCAGACAGTGAGGATAGCCTCTGCTCACCTTAAGGTCCCCGGAGATATTGGCTCCTGCCAGAATGCCCGTGGCGGAAGGGAAGAAGATGGAGAACATCCCAAAGAAGCTGCCGTCAATGCCTCTCCAGTCAGGCACTAGGTTCTGAACAAAAATGTCCCCTGGAAAACCAATACCTAAGTCAGAGCCAACCAGAGGATTTGGCCACCTAGCTGGGCCCTGTCAAAGCAGCCATCAGTTCCCCCAAGCCTCTGGCCATGGGGGAAGCAGACCCCAGCCTCTTGTGTCCATTTAATGAGTCAAATCCTCAGACCAGCTGTCCCCATCCACAGGGCCACCACAAGCGCTCCTGACTTCACATACCATGGTAGCTGTAGAAGCCTTTGGAGGCCTTGTCTTCAGATGCTGGGATCAGTGTCCCCACCAGGTAGTTGGCAAAGGAGACCATGATGACAAGAAAGAATAACACCTGGGCCTGGAGCAGAGGACACTGGAGGTCAGATGGCCTGCTACCGTCTCTGACTCTAACCAAGCAACTCTTTCTTCGCCTCAGTCAGACAGTGAGGAGTCAGGGATACGACAGTGAAATTGAACAGGTGGCCTGAGGTTAGAAACGGGGCTGTGATGGGATCAGTTTGGGGGCTACATCAGCAAGGTGGCCTGGAGAAGTATTTCCCAGCAGCAGACACTTAAAAGAGGAGAGGGCGTGAACCTCAGATCGCCTGAGCTGGGAGGCCAGAAAGCAACAGGGTGAAGAGAGGCAACAGGGCCACACCCCTCCCACACTGAAGGCTCCCTTCTGTCCCAGCCCGCTGGCTGTAGCCCAGGAATTCTTCTCTTGTTTCATGGTATGAAGCCTCTGACATTTGGCTGGCTACATGGATACAGGAGTCAGCAGGATCGAAGAGCACGTTTTTCCTGCCTCCCTTGCAGCTACGCAGGACTATAAGACCAGGTTCTGGCAGGAGCGGCATGTTCAACTTCTGGCTTCAGCCTAACATTATGGGGAAGGGGGTTCCCTCCTTTCTTTTCACCCCCCCTTCCCTCTTCCTGGATCACAGACACGATGAGGGTGGCCATTGTGGATCAGGTGAATAAGGGCCATACTCTAGGAGGGAAAGGTCACATGACGGAAGGAGTCTGCATGCCTCTCCCCACCCCCATGGAAACCACTCTTTGGATGCTTGGGTACCGGAGACAACACAGTCTGTCTCTTTGCACTTAGCGGCAGCACTTCGATCCCAGTTGATACACCAAGGAGAGGCAAACGCAGACGCAGGCCCCTCCCACTACTTCCTCCTCACCTTGGACTCCCACTCCATTCCAGCCAGGGAGATGGCCAGCAGCACGGTGACAGTGACCACGCCGATGATCCTGATGTCATTGATGGGGTCCACAATGGGTGTACCATACTCCTGGGGGGGGGGGGGGGGCGCAGGCCAGCTGTGTGTTCTGTCTTCAGCTGTACTCCTCCAGATCGCCCCCCCCACCCTCAGATGATGCTCTGCCCCTCTCCCAAAGAGCTACTGCCTGGACCTGGACTACATGGCCCAGAGGCAACATGTACCCCAAAAGGGGCCTTGCGGGGATGGTCTGTACTTAATGAGAATGTTATTGTCACCCAAAGTGGCCAGACCTAGCTTTGGTCAATGTGTAAGGAATGGTACAGGGAGGTGGCCCATCTCCCTCTGGCCCCGGCCTGGCTCCTCACCTGAATCAGGTCCCGTACAGTCTCTGCAAAGCCCACCGTGTGCATGGCCACACCCACAGCGTTGGCGAAGGCGAAGATGAGGCCAATGGAGCCCCCCAGCTCTGGGCCCAGACTCCGGGAGATAAGGAAATAGGTGCCACCTAGCAGGGCCGGAACAGGGGGCCAGAGAAAGAACAGTGTACTGCAACAGGGACAGGAGCCAGGGCCACAGGGCGGGTGACTGAGCCCATCTCGAGAGGTAGAGCGCTCTCGCAAGTCCCCTTCTGCAGCCACATGGGCATTACGGGGTATGCCAGGGGTGGGGGGTGGCAGTTCCGAGAGCCAGAGCAAAAGCAGAGAGCCCAGGTGAAGGTGACTCCCGGGGGCACGCACCTGACTTGACCTTGCCGTTGGTGGAGATGGCCGAGATGGAAAGGCCGGTTATGGATGTCACCATGACCGACAGCAGGATGATGAGCCAAGTCAGCACTGTGTGGGGGTGAATGTGAACACCCCAAAATTCAATCAACACGTTTCTTAGGTGAGAATCCACGGAGAAACCTAAGTCAGCCTCAACCCCCACCCCCCCACCGTCCCCATGTGACCCGAGTCCCTTTCCTTCTCTGAGACTCAGTTTTATCACTGAAAAACCAATGGGTCTTAGCCAGAGGCCAAGGTGCAGACCTGTCATCCCAGCATTTGGGAGGTGGAGAGTTCAAGACCAACCTGGGCATTATAGAGAGAGGCCCTGTGTCAAAACACAAACATCTTTTAATCCCAGGACTCAGGAGGGCAGAGGCAGGCAGATCTCTGGGGATATCAAGGCCTGCTTGGTCTACAGAGAGAATTCTAGAACAAGCTACGTTTACATAGAGAGACCCTGCCTCAAACAACAACAACCCCCTATGGAAACCTCAAAATAAAAATCGACAACAAGAGCTGGGTGTGGTGGTGCCCACCTTTAATACCAGGGACCAGGAGGCAGAAGCAGGTGGATCTCTGAGTTTGATGCTGGATTTGTCTACAGAGAGAGTTCCAGGACAGCCAGGGCTACACAGAAAAGCCCTGTCCCAAAATAAAAATAAAAATAAAAGTAACCAGATGTAGTTTAGTTGGGAGACTGCCTGCCTAGCACAAGGCCTGGGTTTGAGCCCTGGCCATGGAACCCAAGCTGATGGCAGACACCTTTAATCCTAGCACTTGGGAGGAGGCAGCTAGAAGTCTAAGGTCTTCCTTAGTGAGTGTGAGACCTGGGGTATACAGTACTCTGTATAAAATGATAACACAAAGCCAGGGCAACAGGAGACAGCTGAGTGCTCACTGAAGTGTTTGGCTTGCAAGCACAAATACCTGAGTTTGATCTCCACAACCCACACTAAAGTCCTAGGCACGGGGTGGGGGAGGGGTAGGGAGTAGGCGGAGGCATGCCCCTGTGAGCCCAGCATGGGGGAAGCAGAGTCAGGAGGATCCTGGGACTTGCTGATCAAACAGTCTACCTAATTAGTGAGATCTGGACCAACATAACACCCATCTCAAAGGAGGTGGGTGGTTTCTGAGGTAGGTATCTGAGGTTATCCTCTGACCTCTGCACATTTAAATAACACACACACACACACACACACACACACACACACACACACACACACACACACACACACACACACACATCCCCAGATGAAGTTAAAACTGGGTCTATCTACCTCCTGCGGTGAGCTGATTAAGTAGGAAGTTCATGTGCCAATGTGTGAATAGTTTCCAGGCATGGAAGGGAAGATATCTGTACCTTTGACGATAAAATCAAAGTAAAATGTTTGCCATGTCCTCAGCACCTTCAGGTACCAGAGCCTATGCTGTTCTCCTGAGCCTTGTAAACCTCACAGTGGCTCTGTGAGGCAGGTACTGTTTTCAGACCTGTTTTCCCCAGGTGGAAACCAAGGCTCAGAGACAGTTAGGAACTAGGCTACCCAGCTTGGTGCCAGGGTCAGCATCTGAGCCCTGGTCTTCTGGAGTCCGGGTTCTGAGCACAGAGACTCTGCAATAGGAGTTGGCTCGGTGGGAGGAGCGACTCACGGAAAAGCCCCTAAAACTCTACACCCAGCAGTCTCCTCAGCTCCGCCCTCACCTGTGGCTGCTGCCCTCTGAGGGCTGCTGTGGAGGAGAAGACCTAGCCAGGTGTGTCTACAGCCCTAGGGGCCTTGGACCAGAACTCAAGCACGGTTTCCCTTCTCCCAGAGGCAGCACTCACCGATGCCCGCCTGTGCCGTAATCCAGGGCAGCCGCAGGTAGAGGATTACACCCCAGATGTTGAGCATGCATCGGATCTGGGAGGAGGGTGGGGAGACAGGGTTCCTGAGGGTCAGATGCCCAAGGCCACACCCTCAAGGGCTTGTTCCCAGGCCCGGGGGACACCTGATGCTTTGGGTGCTCTCCCTCCCATGGGATCAGGCTGCCTGGATTGGGGCCAGGAGGGGAGGACAGTTTTCACGCCATCTCCTCCCATCCTGCTATGGAGGCCTGGAATGGCCTTCAGCCTTCCCGTCATTCACCATGTTCCAAGCCCAAGACCCTGTGTCTGCCAGGTCCCAGCCATTGCCTTGGGCAGCTGCTGGCCCAGGGCATGGCATTCAGGAAGTGTCAGCAGTGCCCCACACGGAGCCGAAACCAAAGCCCAAACCAAAGCCCAGGTTGTTTCCATATTAAAGGCAAAGCCACTGGGGCTGAAATTCCAAGTGGGAGGGTCTGCCAAGTGCTGGGGCTAGGTGGGGTCATGTGGCCTTCGCACCCCTGAGATCTCTGGGACTCTCATCTGCTGAGATGAAAACTAGGATGTGCCTGGTTCTGGACAGCACAGATCAGGGCATGCTCAAAGCCTGACTGTGACCCCAGGGGTGGATGGAAGCTCTGGTTCTGAGGGAGAAACAATCATAGGGGGTTTGCAGAATTAGGACCAGAAGCTAGCCTAAAACCAGAAGCTAGACTAAAACTTTCTCCTACACACCATCCCGCCACCTTTGTAGAACCCTATAGTGTCTCTCAAAGTCAAGGTCACTTGATTCTTTACCGTCTGAAGACTTATTTATGCTTCATTCCTTTTCCATTAGGATGCACTCTGGTATGGGATTGGAGGGGGAGGAATTGTAGATGTGTGTGTTAGTGCTGCCCTCTGGTGGCTTTATGTGGAATTTCTTCTACTAACTCCCTAGCAGGCACTGATCCAAGAATTTTCACAGCTATAAACTAATTTAATGCTCCATTTTACAGGTGAGGAAACAGAGGCAGGGAGTGGCTAAGAAACTTTCCTAAGGCTACAAGATTAGTGAGCAGCTAACCAGAGATCTCCCCAGGGTTGGATTTTGGCCAAGAGCACACAAGTTTGGGAAGCCTACACCAAATACAACTGGAGATCATTGCAGATGGGGAAACGGAGGCCCAAACTGAACCCAAGGTCTATCCTGCCCACTGGGGTCTGAGAGTCAAATCTGGGGCTGAATAGGGCTGGTTCTGTCCCCACCCCTAGACATTAAGCTCCAGTCCATAGCCACTCACCATCACCCCCTTGACCCAGCCGAAGCGCACAGGCTCCCCGGGGCTCTTCTCGCTGCTGGTGCCGGTCTCATCCTCCACAAGTCCATCGGTCAGCTCATGGCCTGACCGCCCATCAAAGGCCAGGACATGCAGGTGACTGCCTTCCTGCTGGGGAAGACCAGTAGGAGTCGGGGAGTGGGGGCTGGGGGCTGGGCGTGTGTGTTCAGGACATGCAGGTGACTGCCTTCCTGTTGGGGAAGACCAGTAGGAGTCGGGGAGTGGGGGCTGGGGGCTGGGCGTGTGTGTTCAGGACATGCAGGTGACTGCCTTCCTGCTGGGGAAGACCAGTAGGAGTTGGGGAGTGGGGGCTGGGGGCTGGGTGTGTGTGTTCAGGACATGCAGGTGACTGCCTTCCTGCTGGGGAAGACCAGTAGGAGTCGGGGAGTGGGGGCTGGGGGCTGGGCGTGTGTGTTCAGGACATGCAGGTGACTGCCTTCCTGCTGGGGAAGACCAGTAGGAGTCGGGGAGTGGGGGCTGGGAGCTGGGCGTGTGTGTTCAGGACATGCAGGTGACTGCCTTCCTGTTGGGGAAGACCAGTAGGAGTCGGGAAGTGGGGGCTGGGGGCTGGGTGTGTGTGTTCAGCCCCGCCTGCCCCACTTTGTCACACAGGCAGCGCTTGGTCAGTTTCAGGGCACAATGTTGCTTGAAAGACACCAAGGAGAGCAAGCTGGGCATTCGGGGTGCCCCTCCCCGTCTAGGACAGAGGGCTGGGAACCAATAAGCACTTGGTCCGAGAGGGAGACAGGATTATCTGACCCTTGAGAGGTGAAACGGGTTGGCCCAGTCCACACACTCAGTCTCTGGTACAAATGGACTTGAATCCAGGCCTCTACCCCAGCGTGACAGGTCTTCTGGTTGGTCTCCCTAGTGACTGCAGCCCACTCTGGGGCCCTCTGCCCTCTCTTCCCAGCACCTCATCTCAGCATCCCTGTTCCAACATGGGGTCTTGTTTGGCCCCTCCAGAGGGCCGTTTTAAAGCAGAGAAGAATTCTGGGAGTTAGGTGAGTCCCAGCTCCTGAACCAGGAATGAGTCTACCCAACTGCCAGTGAGGAAGTGAGGCCTGGGCTGAGCAGCTTCCCAGACAGCAAAGCCAGCAAGCTGACATCGGAGGGCCTTCCATGCTCCCCCCACAGTCTGTCTCAGGGGCGTGCAACCTGCATTTGCACGAGCAGCCGTGCTGTCTTTGGGTTGCCAGTGCCTGAGCAGTGAGTATTATTCGTGTCCTGAGCTTCGCGGCACCTCAGTCCACTTGGATGTCTTGACTCTTGAGGAAGATGCCTATCCATCTTCACAAGACGGATGACAGAGCAAGTTGGGTAATCAGGCCAAAGTCACAGAGCCGGAGAGTGGGCAGCCTTACCTTGAGGAATGAATGCAGGTCAGCCAGGGTGGGCCGCATCTTCCGGGGCTCGCCCGGCAGAGCACTGTTGGCATAGTGTTCGTAGGCAGGCACCACGTCGATAGTGTTGTAACCGAAGGTGCGCATGTACAAGGTGCTGCCGTGTGTCAAGTGGCTGGGGTGGCTGCTGTCACAGGCAGCTGGTGGGGGCTCATCACCACCCAGCAGGGTGCTGATGGTGAAGCGCCCGCTGCACAGAGCATCTCCAGGCATCTCCGTCACAGGTAGCTCTGCCATTATGACTCTGGGTATTAAGGGAGGGGGACAGAGTGGGCAAGGACGCCAAGGGAGACTTTATAGGCTGGGCAGCAGCTGGGAGAAGGCGGGAGCTTTGTCCCAGACCGCCCATGGCTAGCGAGCAGGGTCTCTGCCAGGGGTGGGAGGCGGAGCCAGCAATTGCTGTCCTGCCTTCGTGTATTTGATCATTGGCACAGGGGCCACTTTGGAGGAGGAGGGCTGGGCTAGCCAGAACCACACTGCCGAGTCCTGCTCTTCCGAGAATCTAGGGTAGCAGAGGTTCTGCAGCTAGACCCCAGGAAGCATCATTCATGAGAGAGGACCCAGAGAAGGCCTGCTCCAAGTGCCTACATTGCAGGTGAACAGCACATTCATTGGGCCACAGTGTATTTCTTTCCTTTATTTACTAGTTTGAGTGGATGTCATTTTAGGACATGCATATAAAAAAGTGTCTCCGTGTCTTTCCTGGTGCATCTCAACATATATAAGCCATTCTGATTACAGCTTATAATAGTGTACGAGTGGCCTCAAACCAGACCTGCAGCCATCTCTTCGCTGACACCTTGAGGGGTTAGAGCTGGTGGCCAGCCTCCAGGGCAGGCATAGTGTCACACCGGAGCTTGGCCTATAGGGCAGCTGTGCCTTCCCTCCTTGGAGCCATGTAGACTCCCCATGTAGTAGGAGGTTTGGTCACTGACAGCTCCTAAGACATTGCAGGGACAGTGTCCTGGGGTATGAAAGGGACCCTGGGGTTTGAGACATGAATTAGTGGATGCTTGATGTGTCCTAAAGAAACAATGGACATATGGCTACGAGAACTCACCAAGTCAGCTCCTGCATTGATGGCCCCACCCACAGCTGTCCTTTCCCCAAGAGGCTGGGTGTTTAATGACTGATGGATGCGAGGCATAAAAACTCGGCATCCTGCCCTGCCTCAGGGTTTCCCTGGATCATCTGAGGCTTTGGGCCCACACCAAAGCCTGCTTCCCTCTGCCCTGGCAGACATATGCCTTGAATGCTCACTTCGGCTTTTATGGTGAGGTGACCCAGCCCCTTACAAGAATCCAAGAAGACTGAGCGCATTTACGCTGCTTTATTCACCGTAACAAAGAACTGAAATCAACTTGTCCATCAACAAATGAATGGGCAACAGAAATTATATATATGCATATACATGCATAAATTGTATGTGTGTGCATCTGCGTGCGTGCGTGCGTGCGTGCGTGCGCGTGCGTGCGTGCGTGTGTGTGTGTGTGTGTGTGTGTTTGAGAGCATGCTGGCACATGCATGCCTGAGTGTGTGCATGTATGTTGCTCCACTCTAAAGAAAAAAAAATGAAGTTAACAGTTTTGGGGGAAGGCGGATGGTTTTAGTATGAATATTAGGTGAGATCCACAGTCTCAGAAATAAACAACATATTCTTCTTACGTGGAATCTAGCCAAAAATATATGTACATGTATAGACAAAAGAGCTTGTGGGCGCAGGATAACACGGAGAAAGAACAAGAAAAGCTAAACATAAGGGGACGAGTAAGGACTGAACGCAGGTAATGATACAAGACATTAGAGGATAAAAAGCTAATGTTTTCCTAGTTCTAACACTGTCACCGATTTTTTTTCTGGTTTGAGTAGTGGTGGATAAGTGCAAAAAATATTCAATACTAAAGGTATAAATTTTAATGTGAAGTTTCACAGCTACCATTTCTATGTCAATTCAACTGCAAGAAGTTCATTAAGCTGTGTCAACTGGTATGGCTAATTTTGTTGTTCCATATTTTTTATTTATTTGCAAGATTTATTTTATTTATTTACTTATTTTGGTTTTTTTGAGACAGGGTTTCACTGTAGCCCCAGCTGTCCTGGAACTCTGTAGACCAGGCTGACCTTGAACTCACAGAGATTTTCCTGCCTCTGTTTCCCAAGTGCTGGGATTAAAGGCCATCTCCGCCTGGCTACAAGGTTTTTTATAGCAAAGTTTATAAAATAAACAATTAAAAATAAGATTACAGGCCTCCCGTCACTGTCCAACAGACCTTTATCAGCTCCACCCCTACCCCGTGCTATGTGACGGTGGAGCCAGGGACTTGGAGAAGCCAGGCCTCCGCTCATGGCAGGGCAGGGTTTGCAGAAAGCTGCACACAGAAATGAACCAAACACGCTACAAGGTGAGCAGACAGCTATAGGAGTGAGCCCCTGAAGAAGGGTCAAGGCGTGGCCAGCCCGGGAGGGCTTCTTGTAGGAGGCCTTTGACTGCCTTGTTCCTCCTGGATGCCTGCGATGGGCTGAAGGCCAAGAGACTACTTACTGTCTGCTGTGCACTGGGGCTCCACTCCCGTTCCTCCCAGAGGAAACTGGAGGGAAACACCCCCATTCCTGTCCCCCCACTCAGTCCTGCCTCTCAGAGCCTACCCATGTCCCCTAGAGGACCCACCCCCTCAAGCATGCAAACCCTGGGACCTCCCATAGGAAGTGAGCACTAGTCGGTAGGTACTCTCAAAGGCCCAGCTGGTCCCTGCTTACCTGGGCCAGAGGGACCAGGAAAGGTGTGTCTATCTGGAGGGCCAGGAGAGATTGCTAAGGCCAGTTAGAGCAGTGACTGTCACAGTCACCCTATGAGTATGGAGAAGTTGTCAAACCTCAGTGTTCTTTTCCTGGAGGGGACATGTGTTGCCCCCAATGTCTTGGAATGGAAGCCACAAAGGGACCGTGCCCTATTGTTTGGGGGACTGTCTCAAGCAACTGAAGTGGTAGACACTTAAGTGCTCAATAAATGCTTGTTGATTGCATAGGGAATGAACAAAGGTAACTAGAAAAGGGGCTGATCCAGGAGGCAATCCTTGGCTGGCAGGGTTACCTTGACAGGGGCATGCAAGGGCTCTCTGGGGGTTCCCACAGCACAGATTGGACACGCCTTGATTGGACATTAGCAATGAGCAGAGGAAAATGTCCGAAGGTGGACACATGTGTCCCTTTTCCTGCCAGCTCATAGCAGGGCTGAAGGCTTGAAGTGAGGATCCAGGTAAGGACCTCTCAGGTCAGTTTTCCACGTCTTGGCAGGATGTGAGATTTGTAAAGCTTCCCCCACTCCCTCCCACTGCCCTCCGGGGCAGATCTTATCCTCTGGGTTTTAAACTGCCAACTACCCAGCAAGAATCACAGTCACCAGCCTCCCCCTCCCGGCACACATACCACCACTTCATTCCAACACACCTGCCCTGGCAGCTGTGGAAAATTCCTGATCGAGATCTTGAGATAGAAAAGGGTCAGGGCTGGTTTTCAGCCAGGAGTGGGAGGCTGTGAAATTGCCGGGTGACCTTGACGAATCATTTCTTCTTTTCTCCAAAGCACCTGAGTCAGCTGGAAGGGGTGTGAGGCTATTTCTAGAACATTCTGCCCCACTGCACTCTCTGAGGTTTAGGCAGGATCCCTTGAGGGGTTTTTCATTAGGACATCTAGTGACTGCTTAACACCTTGTGCCAAAATACACCCTGTAAGGGAAGGCTTGTGACTGACGGCGTACAGTCAGTCCATCTGCTAAACCCTCAGAGAGGCTCCTCCTGACAGGGACATGGCACTGGGTCACAGGGTCCCTACACTCCTGGATACAGCTTCTGAGAGGACACAGGACCCCTACTCTGAGCACAGTTCTGGGATTGGGCCTTTAGGAGTTTCCATGCTGTTTGTTTTGGGGGGCCTTTAAGCAAGGCTCCCCTCTGGGTGAGCTTCAGCTACTTCAGCAGCAAGATGGGAGCTACACTCGTGCCAGGGCCAGCCAGATCCCTCTTGCTTAGCCTCAGCCTGGCTTTCAGGAGGAACAGGGTAGCCACGGACCAGAGAGATGAAAGAAATCAGAAAAAAAAAATCCTCTCTCCAGGGGCTGAGCCACAAGGACAGGAGGGAGGGCAGGCTTCAGGCTCACAACTTTGGGCCTGCTCTCTTCAGGGCCTCAGAGTCCCCCTCCCCCCATCTATATTAAGTCCTCCTGTATATCAGGCCCTGGACCCGGGAACCCAGAGCATGCAGCCACCAGCAGAGAGGGCCTCAGGAGATGGGAGCTGAGGAAAGGCAGTTAGGGACAGGGGAAGCGGTGGATGGGTTGGAAGAACAGGGAAGAAATGGTGGGAATCCAGGATGCAGGGCTGCGTCTCCATTCCGCCACATTTATTAGGCAACTACCAAATACTATTTTCTGTGCTGAGCAAGGCCCTCTCCCCCAAGCAAGACAAAGCCCTGCCCTCTGGGAGCTCACATTCTAGAGGGAGAGACAGACAATAAACACACAAGCAACTGTCAGAATATACCTTATACCTAATGAAGAATGGGCTATGAAGAAACTAAAGCTTTCTCTGAGGATGAAAACCTGGAGCTTGGCCACCCATATGTCAGCAAGAGGTGGGGAGCCAGGCAGAAAGAGAGCAAAGGCGCCGAACAAAATGCAGCTTTGGTTTCCAACAGAGCAGGGAGACCTGGGTGTTAGAACCAAGCAGACAGGGTGTGTACCCGGAAGCAGGAACTCGTGCCTCATAGAGCAACTTACAAGTTGCAACCTATTATGTGATGGCCAGATCTGGACTTGCTATAGATCACATTGCCTGATGTGTAAAGAATGGACGCAGGGAGGCCAGACAGGGGTTGCCTCAATATGCAGCAGTGGCAGCCAGGCCTGGAAGGAATTTAGGGGCAAGATAATAGGTGTCCTGAAGACAGAGGCGGCAGCATTAGCATTTTTGTGGAGTTGTATGAGGTCAGGCTCTGGGAGCAGGGTGGGGGCGTGTGGGAGGGCATGATGGGAGAGCACCCTGGGAGAATATGTTCCTGGGTAGGCATGCTTGACAGGAAGGGCTTTGGGTGCTGGTATAAGGAGCCAATTTTGTCCTGGGTGTCTTGGTGTCAGGAGCAGCACTTGCGTGGTGCACATCAAATCTGAAGGAGCCGCACCGGGGAGGGCCAGCAGGTGCCACGGGATAGTCAGACACGAACGGCGTAGGGGAGCAGCTCAATTCTGAGCCTTAGGCCCACCTGGCTCCCTCCTGCGGCACATGGGTTTGAGCCTCTCGGGGATGCTGACTCTGAGGTCACTCAAAGC